AGGCTCATTCCACCCCTAGTTATTTACCTATTAATGCTTATATAGCTACTTACAACACAATAAATGGTTGTTTTGCATGTTGTCATTATAATACATTTGGATGGACGGGATGTATTGTCATAAGCCATGGTATTAAATAAACTTTGAGCCACTGGTCCAATTGCAATACAGCAGGATGATCGAATTAAAATGTCTTCATCCCAAAGTCTCGAACCAAAACGAATAGAAACAAGCAATTGTAGTCGTTTATAGAAGTGCTCAGCTCAAATTGTATACGTGTGACCTTTTTTAATTCTCTTATTAGATTGTCATTTTAGGCATGCACTCTCAGAAACAATGGCGCATTTCTTTGTACGTCTCTGGGCTCGTGTCGCTAATCTTTGTAAGTTTGTGTACGTGATATTTGCAAGAGTATGGACAGTTTATTCAGTGTGCGCTCACAGTGTTTTCTTTGTAAGAGGAGAGTCCACACATTTCTTCACACCTGTCCATGTTGCTCTTAACAAACTAAGCAACACTCAATAACTGAGCTTATTATAGGTGTAAATATATCTTTGCACATCTAATAGTAGTTCAGCATTTGTACTACACTACACTACACACACACGGCCGGGTTTACGGTAAGACCACACACTCCCATAACTGTCCAATACTGCGGATTCTTTTCTAATTGTGTTTACCTTCAGACAAACCTAACAGCAATATTGTGTGATGGAAGGGGGCATGGTCCACATTAGTTACTTTAACACTTTATTATTATGTTATGATGAGATTATGTTATTATTATTATCAAAGTAAATTTTTTATGGGTGAATACAGCTAAACTCCAATGCAATACATACACACTTCATATTCATACACTTCATAACAGATCCACCCAATCAATCATAATGTCTTGTTAATCTTGTTTTAAGTGCATTAACTAAAATGCTATTGAGACAAGAAAAACATTTGTTATTATTATCATTGCTAGACCCTTTGGCAAATCTTGTTTTAAGCTATAAACGTAAACTCATTCCTGTTTAGTTTGTATGTTTTGTGTTCAAAATTTATTGATTTATTGTTTGCCGAACGCAGAAGAAGCCGATTTGAACATAAGCTAGCTGGAGCCAATTTCCTTATATGGGTATTAGTTCCAACAATGTTAGCTTAGTGCTGTAACAGTGTAGACGTGTTGCTAAGGTGGTTGCTAAGACAAGCTGGAGTATTCTCTCTTTAGTAAGGCATCTGATTGGTCAATCCTGGCTCACATCTGGGTTTAGAGTCGATATCAAAATATAAAGACCCGGATAACAGAGAGAGCTAAAATCTGTAATTGTGTGATCGTGACAACAACAGTTACTGAGTTAGAGGAGTTTACAAGTCATAACAAATCAGAGCGAGTAAGTTTGTCCATGACCACTTCCTTATTGGGTTTCATTGACTGGTGCAATGAGCATTGGGTGGCAGCTCTGATTGTCACCCCCCCGACCCAGAAATGGATTAATAAAGAGGATGAAAATGAATGAATGAATGCTAAAAGGGTTAGCATTGTCCCTCATTGAGCTAAAAGGGTTAGCATTGTCCATCTGTACACTGTCTATACACCTAGTTTTCTACTTATTTGGCATTTTTTCACGGAATTGGTTGGATGTGATATTTTTATTGGCTGTGACCCCGAAAGTGGTGATGTGTTATTATCCGGCCCGGAGGACACAGCCATCAACAATAATTTGTTGATTGGTTCTATATCAGACCAAAGAAAGGCCTTCACATTGTAAAAAACAAACTAAAACACAACCATTGCATTCCTTCTCACACGTCTTCCAATCCAGACCTGTCTGCAGCCGTTTGGCAGAGCTACAGACAACAACCACAGCACGTGCCGGGTCTGAAATTTGCACCAGATTCGATGAGACTCTTTCTCTGCGTGGAGTGACACAGTGCCACGTTCAATATAACGATGTTGACTCTGAATTTTTCATGACGGCCCATGTTGCTTGTTTGTTGCCCTTTCCGGGGACAGTAGGTTAAAATGCTGGGTAATGGGGTCGTGGGAGGCGGGGGGCTCGTGGCTAATTCCAGATTTAATTTACATTAGTAGTTCAATACCATGGGTGAGTGAAGGGGTTACAAGCAATGATTGATGGATTAATGTATACATATGTGTTTACTAATGGGACCGTGCCATGGCGTCAATATGAGGACAGGGGCCAGTGTGGTTCTTTTTAGACACTCTGGACTCATGCTGTGGGTGGTGGTTCTTTGACATTTGAACGCTTCTTATTTGCCATGTTTAAAATATAGTACTCATTTATCTGTATCCGTTTGCTTGATCCTTGTGAACATTGGTGAATCAGTCTGGTTTAACTGTCAAATTTTCAAATTCAAATAACTTTGTTTATACATGAAGATAAATGACAAAGCAGCAGATTTCTTGACAAGCTGTCAAAATGCATCGGCTCTACAAACTTTGGGTTTTAATACAAATCAAACATAATTTAAGATATACAATATTATTATGTGAAAGTATGATGCAGTATAAAAGTTAATGGCAATCTGCTATCAGACATGTTTTCACTGTTTTGGGTTGTTTTTAAGGATAATTTATCTTGTTTACGGATTGTTATGCCAAATTTAGGTCAGCTGTAGTTAAACTGTATGTAAACTAGTTAAGTTTTATTGCGTCAAATCAACTTATGTCCAAATTGAGCCACATGCTGAGAGAAAGGCCTGTGAATGAAAAAAAATATGTACACTGTTATATGTGGGGAAAAAAACTTCAATTATCTAATGGGTCCTCTAATCTAATCTAATCTAATTACATGAATTGAAAGAAAATAATTACAATTCATTCATCCTCTATTTCATTGCTGCCCACAGCAAGCCTCAAAGGCACTGCAGGGGCCCCCCAAAGGTTGTCCACTCTACCATCGATTAGAAATGACTGCAAATGTAAATGTAAATATCATACAGATATTGCTGCTTTTAACAACTTAAGTCATGTTTGTTAATGTGTTTTGGTCTAAATTTAAAAGAAAAACCATAACATTTTCTTCAGTGTAAAGTACTATTTGATGGGGGGGGCCAGTGGATCTTCAATTGGTAAGAGGGACCGCAGTGATGCATCATTGGAGAACCTCTCCTTTCTTTGAACCCATTTAAATCTAGTACAGGACACACACACATTTTTTGGGTTGTTTTTTCAGATCAATCTAGTGAAAAATACAGTATGTACTTAAATTGGAAAAGTATCATAGTATTTGAATATTTACTTTTGTATTTATCTAATCCAACAAGGCAGCAACCAAGTTCATTCATACCTACATTCATAGATTTTTTCATTCAAAAATAGCTGGAGCCACATGCCCCATCCTATCCCTGGTCTTCACGAATCACACAGGCCCTACGCGGCGCCTTCTTAACTTCACGTGACCTCATCGCGGCTCATCCCACGGCTGCATCTCCAGTATACGCCGTCTCAAGATGTGTGTGTGTCCCTGGAGGAGATGGACTTGCAGCTATCCAGGCGTGTGATTTGCTATTAGGGTCAGGCGCTGTATTGTGACACAGGCTCCGCGGTCGGACCCTCGCGTATGCACTCCACTCGCCGGGACGTCCAGACACAAAGCCCACCATGACGGACACCCCCTGACACCTCCCATTGGTTCAACGTGAGTGAGCGGAGAGACAGAGATGTATAGAGAGAGGAGAGCAAGCCCGTGTCACTCAGTATTAAGCAGGATTTTGTAAACAAACTTGATTTCTTGACCCCAGCGCTTAAGAGAAGGAGTGGGGCATGTTTGCAAAGGAAGCAGGTCTCATGTATGCAAGGATTTTCTCAAAAAGTGTTGGATGGATTATTTATTTGCGGTATGAATTTGAAAGATGGGTCAGGGAGAGCATCTTGTGTTTTTCTATGGTGATTCTTGAAGAGCATACGTAACATAATCTTTAGCCCAGAAACTATGCTAGCTGTAATACTATTTGCCTTTTGGAAATTCCTGGTTCAGAATTCAACTTTTCTGATAAAAAGTACAGTAGCATAGCGATTAGCTTGAGTTTCTACAGCACGAAGGTTCAGTACTACCTCCAGATGGGGCCTTTCTGGTTAGAGTTTGGATGTTCTTCCCGTGTCTGCATTGGTTTCCTCCGCATGTTCCGGTACAAAAGATCTGAATGTATTGAGTGAGTGAATGAATGGTGATGGTCGAGGGCTTTGAATGCATCAGTGTGGTCCACGTCTCGCCCCTGTCATCACTGTGTGCGTAGAGAACAGGAATGACTTATACATCCAAATTATACAGTGCTTTGTCTGACCTTGGTCTGTGAAATGGGCAATATAAATAAAGATTACTTACTTACTTTGAATCTGTCAGTATGATTTGTAAATATACTGATTCCTCATTTCTCAGACAATTCACAAAACAGAGTACATATGCCCCGCTGAGGAGATGGAGCCTTGTGCTGCTTTCAAAGACGTCCCGTAACTTTGCCTTAGCACTGAAACTTTGGAACAGTATTTGAAAATAAGATTGCTTTCATACATACTGTATAAGCACACTTTTCACAAATGTAATCACGCAACATCTTGTTACTTTGAGCGTTTAATAATCACACAGGCTCAACTGCAGCAGTAAAAGTCATTTCATTTCCGCAGAGCAATTAAACGCGTCATGATTCCTGCTTTTGCATGTAACCAAAACAAACCAAAACAAAGAAACGTGCTTAGAGGGACTGTGTACTTCGTCGAAATGATCAAAATGACTCAGTTGAATATGCCCAATTAAATACTTTTCTAATATCAGCATTGCTTTAAATGCATCGGCTGTCCTTGTCTCAATAGTATCTAGTTTATCTGGTTTTATGACGGGATAAACAGAGTCGAAACAGTTCAAGTTATCTGGTTGGAAGTTAATTTAAGCTTGCGAAAGACCTTTTTGAAAACTAAAACTGTAACAATTCAACATTTCAATCTAATAACTCCTGGCTCCATGTCTTCTTCTTTCTTCTCTTCTCAGGTATGAACCATGACTCCAATAAATCCTCATCATTAGGAATGATCTCCACGGCAACCCGCACCACGGCCACAGTCAGTCCCCTGAACCCGCTAACCAATGGGAGCGCAGTGTCCCAGTCTGCAAACTCCGGATTCGCTGCTGCCCTGCGTAAACTGGCCAAGCAGGCCGAGGATCCCCGAGGTGGGTCAGTTCACCCGCTCTCAGCACCTTCCAGCCCCTTGGAGGATTTCAGCAATGCACCACGCAGCACAATGCACTTATTGGCTGCCCCTACAAACAATATTGTAGTTCTTCAAAGCAAAATGCGTTTCAAGTTCTGTAACATGCCACTTTTGCATATTAAGCACACAAGTACCACCGCAGAAAGGGGCATTTGGATAAGGACAGAGTGGATCTAAACAAGGTCTCGAAGTTCAAACAGGTTCAAATCGAGCAGGAAAATGCACAGAAGACCTGTCCTGGTTAAAGCTGGTATACCTAACTTTTCTCCCTAAATAACATGTTTGACCCAACGGAATGAGCATTAAAGTAGCAGTATGTTAGCAAAAGGCATTAAGAAACCATGCTCTTTTTGAATACTTCATTAACTGATAACTGTAGTTCAGTGATATTTGGATTTCAAAATTAGTTTTACAGCCCCTAAATGTTTCGATGTCCCGCCCTCCACCGTTTCACCAATCAGAAAGTCTTTGATCCGGGTTGCCAGAACTCGCTGCATCGAGCTAATCTCACTGGAAAACTACCATGTGGCCGTAGAACTAAAAAAGGTCTCGTTATGATTCTTAAATCAATAATGACAAAAAAAACATAAAACCAGGATTTCTATCTTTGTGAAAAATGTGTTGGTTCTAGATTTGTTGTTGCCAAAACTCTTTCTTCAGATATAATGGTCCCAGCTGGATTCGTCTGCATATCTGGCAACCTGAGTCAGGGAGAGTGCAGTACCACTTTTGGCCAGATGTTTACATACTGCGTCTTTAAAAAAGTAAAATGTTGTGATTTTGGATTGAGTCAGACCACAAAATGTTATCCCCTGTAAGAAAGAGCCCTGTGAGCCTCTATAGCTGATTGGCTGATTGAAGGTAATCCTCTTTTTTCAGCTTTTCTGTCTTTTTGTGGTTTGAAAGGTAGGTATCCCAGCTTTAGGTCTTGGTCAAATCTATGCAAAAAGCGACAATACGCAAATCTGACTATTATGAGGTTTTGGACATGCTTTACATGTGTTCTCTCCTCATTTACACACTCAACATTGTTTATAGAATGAGTGATGCAAAATTCTCCTGTAGTCAAGAGGCCATTGCTCAGACAAGCCCCATTTTCACCCCACTGTTATCTTCTTGCCTTGCCTGCTGTTTCTTGGTGTGTAATACATAGCTGACTCTCGAGGATCACAAAGGCATTTTGGTGAAACCTGTGACCTTTTGTGTTTACGCTGATGCAACATTGTTTTATTGTTTTGGATCAAAATTCAGTTATGAAATGTTCAAATGACATCGTGATTCACATACGTCATACTTGGAGTTGTTCTTTGCCGATGCAGGAGGGTGGTTACCTGTTACCTGACAGTGCTAACCCCCTAGCTCAATGAAGCCCAATAGAGAAGTGCTCATGGACAAAGTTTTGCTCCAACTCGCTCTGGCTCTGATTGATGGACATGTAAAAGTAAACTCCTCTAACTCAGTAACTGTTTGTTTGAAATTCACCATTAAAGTGTGGTTTAGAGCTCCCTGTGATCTTGGTGTTTATATTTTGATAATGTCTTTGTAAATTCAGAGAAGAGACATATAAGAATTGACCAATTAGATATCTTCATTTGTGGGGAATCTCCAGCTTGCCTTAGCAACCATCTTAGCAACACATGTTACGGTGCTGAGGACTGTTTCGGTGCGAAGCTAACGCCACACAAGAGAAAATTGGCTCTAGCTAGCTTATTTAAAATTGACTTATTCTGCAGTAAGGCTCACACGGTGGCTGAGTGGATAGCACTCTCGCCTCTCAGCAAGAAGGTCCTGGGTTCGAATCCCGGTCGGACCAGGGCCTTTCTGAGTGGAGTTTGCATGTTCTCCCCGTGTCTGCGTAGGTTTCCTCCGGGTACTCCGGTTTCCCCTACCACTAAAAATATGTCCAATAGTTCTGGCATGCGCCTCCTGTACTGGCGACCCCGCTCCCATCTCTGTGTGGAGTGAGAGACAAATGCCCAAAAATTAACAATTGTAAACCGCTCTGAGACTCAGTTCTGCAGTGAAAAGGCGGTATATAAATAAATACTTACTTACTTACTTACTTACTATGGTTTATGTATAATTGATTTGCTAATCTGCTGTTGGCAAATTGACAATTCTGGGCTTTACCAAAATGTTATACAGTGCTTTACAGTAGATATACCAATTAAAGCAGACCAAAGCACAGTATCTCATTTGGCGGTGCATTTTGTGTGCGTTTAGACTGGGACTAAAGCAGGCCTAGTGCGAATGCGTCTCAAGCAGCGGCACTAGGGCTCATTTAGACATTGCTCTCCCCTCATTGGTGTTTTAATGAAAGTGTTGGATAAGAGGTGACCTACAGTGACCCTGTACCTCTCCTTGCTTCCCTTCATCTGTTTCCATTCATCTCCTCATAATAAGAATCTAATTACTGCCAATTAAAAGGGACGCTCCTTCCCGGCTCTCTCCCTCGCAGCCCGTTCTACAGCGTTTCTTCTTCGTCTTATTAAATCCTGCTTTTGTGAGCGCACTTAATAGCAAATGTCACCGCAATAGAGCGATTCCACTGGGGATGCTGTCATTTTTAGTGCGTGATCCTTGAACACTTTCATTTGTTATATCGCGGCTTATTTACTCTTCGTTTCTTTTTGCACAACAAGAGCAGGCGTCTTCATTTTCCACTCTCGTATTCCCTTTCATCAGATTGATTGAATAACCGTTTTCCGCAGGCAAAACAAAAAGATTGATTGAAATCCTCATCGCTCCAAAGGGAATTTGGCCTGCTAAGTGCGTATACAAAGACATTAGAGCAGAGAGTGGAGCATTACAACAATGTGTAGACCATAGTTAACAGTAGGAAAGTACCAAATCTGGAAATCTTAGCAATTTTAACACATTTATAATCATAATGGTAAAATTTCAAATGGTAGTAGCTTTTTGACCAATATTGCTTCATTCAAAACTAACCGTTGGAGTTTTATCTATTTAAATTTACGTTCTGTTTTAAAAGCACAATCTATGAATGCACTGTACGTCCTGGTTATGTTACTACCATGGACTGTAAATACTGTAGTAACAGACGTAGTCACGCCTATCTCTGCCGTTGGAACTAATGTGCCACCACTTTTGCCTTCTGTGAACGGTTTCAAAATGGCCGCGGGGCAGGAAAATGTGAGGAAACGCATGTTTCTACCATTGACTGTAAATATTAACGGACGTAGTCAGGCCTATCTCCACCGTTGAAACCAGTGGGGGCGGGTCCCGGCTCAAAAGTGGCCAAAATGACATACTTGCAATATCACCCCGAGCCGATGGGGGTGGACCCGGAATAAGAATTAGCCAATGCTAACATGTAACATCTTCTTATCTTTCGAAAACCTTCTTACAGGATGGTCCAAAAGTCGGCTCTTTGTAAAAAGGAATTTATGCGTTAGCCGGCGCAAGCCCCATTTATTTAACAAGTGCATTCAAAAGTCTGGTCCAAAAAACACAGAATTGTTGATATGCTAACAGATTAGAAGTGTATGCAATTACAATAAAATGGAAATAACCAACAACAAACAGAATAGTCATTGATTCAGGTCATTCATTGGTCTTGTTTTGAATTTTCTATTGAACAAAGGAAAAAGCAGTATAGCAGGGGATTGTGGGGCAAATGGTGAAGCACGAGATGAAGGAGAGTAAAAAAATACTCAATTATGCACACTGTGAACAACATTGCTCTCCTTTAAATTGCATTAAAAGCAACATTTACACGTCTTTCATAACTACCACCACTTACAACCACCTACAGCCTGTTTTAGCTTCTCCATACTGTCCTTTTACCAGCACCTCATTCTCCATCTGTGCAGGTTCAGCCGTGAGCCGCGAGTCGTCTCCTGTGTCCACCCCGTCCACCAGCCACAGCTCCCCAGTGACCACTCCCAAGAGGACATCCTTAGGCCCTCACCTGGGCCAGAGCCGGGGCCACACCATCCCCAGCACCCCTCCAGTAGTAACCATAGCCCCCACCAAGACCAGCAACAGCCTGTGGAGGTCCGACTCCAGGCAGGTGAGGCATCTCGGCTCAAAGCTGGAGCACACAAGCTTTTCTTTGTTTCATATGTGCATTTTATTTATCGCAACAGACCACAACATGCTTTCCTCATCTTGTCATAAAACATCAACAATCTTTGTCTCACTGAGAGCTGAGAGAGGCTGGTGCGCTCATGTCCACGGATCTAAAGATACATGTGAAAACTAGTGATGAAACCAAACTGTTTTAGGGCAGTTTCTTTACATGGTTTTTATTGTAGTTTTTATTTTGATTCACCAGGCTTAGAGGGAGCGTATGTATTATTGCCATTTTTAGATTACGGTACATCCTCATATTTTGTATGTGTCTCTAGAGTAAAGGTCAGCATGTACAAATCATATTTGACCTTTTCTGAACAAAAGCTCTTCTTTATGACATGATGTCCAATCAGAGAGCAGAATGAGTCTCCTTTGTATTTTCAGCTTGTTAGGAGACATTTAGTTGGCTTTGGCTTAAAAAAACAAAAAACAAGATTCACAAATGTGAACCACACATTTATTTAAATAAAAGCAGATGAGTAGTTATACATCTCAGAGTTTGTATCATTTTGAACGAAACCCCAGCAGGTGGATTGCATCAGTATCATGTCATAGGATGACGATTCTGGCAACAAAAGTGTGATTGTAATGACTTTATTAGAGCACTGAGAGCACATAACATAAGGAAAATAAATACAGAAACCCAACTAGTGCAGTTTTGTAAATTATCTAGTTTCAAAGTGATGTTTCCTTAGGAATTTGTCCCAAAAAAAAATTATTTTGCCAACTTTGAGGTTTCCTTGGCTGCAAATTTCATTTCTCTAGATCCAGCTAGAATAGGTTCTGTCACACCTATGTTTGTGATAGATGAGGTCACGGGGGCATCAGGAGGGTGCATTCCAACAGGATATTTATCATCTTTATTTACTTGAAGAGATATCATATCCTACAGGTTAGGGTTACACCTTTTACACATTCTATATCTTTATGCTTGTTGTTGTTTGTGCAATTAGTCTTCCATTTAAATGTTTTCCTGTCACTCGAGTACCCCAGAAATACATGTATTGACAGGAGATTATACCTACTAAGGCTGGGCCACATAATACCATTTGCAGTAATACCGGTAAAAGTTTAAGGACCATGTGAAACTGCTCCATAATTTTGTATGTGATCTTGGTTAAAAAAGTGTTTTTTGAGTGCTATTTATATTGTATACTATGTTGTTACTATGTTATCATATTGTCTAATATATTGAGTGGAACACACACACAAATTTTTCTCTTCATCTCGTAGAACGTTGGCGTCTAACAGTGCTCTCGTAAACCTTGCATCATGGCACCAAAACTGCCATTCTTCCAAAAATACTAATTCTTGACAACATTAAGCTGTCACACACAGCCGGCCCTCATGTCTCTCTCTGTCTGTGTCTCTTTCTCTCTCTCTGTGTCTCTGTTTTTTCCTTCTTGCTAATCATCTTTTTTCACTAAACACACCACTCGAGCTGTATAAAAGAAGCGTTGCAACAGACTGTCACCTATTGTGCGTGGCTTCCTGCGGCGTTTGTGCGTATGCGCGCGTGTACTTGACCCTTCCCCACAAAGGCCTTGACTGTGTGTGTGTGTGTGTGCATGTGTGCTGTGTGTGTGTGTGTGTGTGTGTGTGTGCGTGCATGGGGGAGGTCATGTGGGTGAGTTTAAGCCAGGCTGAGGGTCCGATCTCCCCCAGCCCTTGCACAATGCGAGCTTGGCCCCCGCTACAGCCACTTCCACTTGGATCAGAGCGGCCATTCTCCCCCCTTTGACAAAGCCAACACTGTGGGTTTGCCCGCTTGCCTGGAGGCGCCTATTCAGAGGGGCAAAGCGGAAGGGGAGGGAGGAAACTCGGGTAATGGATTTTAGGAGAGAAACAAGGGAGGTAAGGATGGATATGAACGCAGCGGCTCCAAATATTTGCATTGATTTTAAATAGATAATCAATCAAACAGGTCAATGAATCTGATCTCAATCACTTAATAATGTGGGAAGAGACATAAACAACGACAGGGGAGAGATCTTAGATAGATCTTAGATAAATAGATTTTAGATTTTAGAACAATATGCTTGGTATCAATAAGTGGCTACATTTTGGACATGGAATGAGCATTGAGATAAACTATGAAAATGCTAATTGATTAATTATATATTTATTTTGTACATAATAATACATAATGGTGAATATGATTCAAAGTAAACAAACACTTATTTGGTTCCAACCCCTCTCACGCACACAACACAACCCAAAACACACACATGACTTAACACAGACAAGACACAGGCCCAGACACTCTCTAACCTTACACCTCTGTCCCAATAGTTTCATAGCAGGTCATAAATTCCAATTCTAGACATTCAGAAGAGTCTAGAATTGTAATAGAGCTGTACTAATGACTTGTTTGGCTATACTATGTCACATTTATGAGTGCCATCTTCAAAAATCAAAAATTGTAGCTTTAAGTAACTTCATTGGTCAGACAGAGAGCCATAGGCCAGTCCTCCACCTCTCCTTGTGTCCCTGCAAACATTAGTGTTGAAGGCGAAGAGAGAGGCTGAGGCGGCCCATGGTTCTACCACTGAAACAACTGATACATATATTTCACATACTTCACAATTCTTAGTCAGTTAGTTTCTTCAGAAATACATGAAGCAACCTTCCTGGTGGAAGCACGCACGCACGCACACACACACACACACACACACACACACACATGCTTCCTATGACCCCTTTATATCTTCACCCTTTTATGTGTGTAGTTTCCTGTTTTTCTGTACTTTTCTACATGCAGCAGCTGTATTTGTGGTGTTGTCCTATCTAATGTATGTTTTAATATATATTTATGAAAAAAATACTAGGTGAAACTCTTTCGTGAAATGTAGAATCTCGTTCAAAAGTTCATTTACTTCTGTAATTCAATTTGCAATTTAAAACTAATACAACACGACAGACTCATAACACGCACAGTGAGATATATCAAACCTTTTTGTTGATAATTAGCTCACAGCTTGTAAATCTCCAAATAAAAGATGCCGTAAATTCCTAATATTTTTGAAAATGGATCGTTGGGGCTCGCCTTGACAGTAGCTCAAAGGTGCTCAAATATGTCTCCTCGGCACCGGGACATTTTAAGAAGGCTTTGTGTTTATGGCTGCATCTGTCAAGACAATTGGGACTTGTGGCGTCAAAGGTCAGGACGTGTGACTGCTGCTCCCTGGGCGGTCCGTCTTTGTTTGGGGCCCATCCTTCTCCAGCCCCCATTCCCCTACCTCCTTCTCCCCCCTCCCTCCCACTCACGTCTCCCCAGCACACTCGCACAGTCGCACACTCCGGGTCAGATTGATCTTTGATATAGTGCGACGGTTCATCGCTGGTTTGAATCTGCTTTTCATGAGTGAGACATTCAAATGGGCACCAGAATATTCAAATGACACGGATTTTACTGTGTTTTTCCCGACTGGAAGGTGGCACCTGAAATGTTGCCAAGGGAGCGGATTTGTTTGTGGTTTCCCTGTGGTAGCTCGCCCCTGCAATTACACTATGTTTCTTTAGACACGTCGGTTGTCACGAAAATGTGTGTTTTCTGTCATTAGTTTAACAGTGTGATTTGAGGCTAAAGACTGTACGGCAATTAAACAAGACATGGGACAAAAGTCTGGACTTCAAGCAACATGTCTAATTTTTCTATTTGCAGGATTTGTGGTCTGGTAAAAGTGAAAATATCAATAGCCCTGTTGGTCACTGTATGACTCTATGAACTGAGGGATGATTTGGAGTAAGGGCAGTTCTCTTCTTTTCATTTTTATGTCCCAAAAAATCCCCAAAACTTGAGACAGAGCTAAACTAGCGAGGAACTAGTTTGATGGATTTCTATTAATTAAATGATATTGTGTTATAAAAGTTAGGTTTCAAGTAAGGCCGCACATCCTTGTTGTCTGGACTAGCGTGCTGGATTAAAAAACTGCAAAACGTGATTTGCAAAACAGTGAAAAAAAATCCGCACAGCTATGTTGCTCCCAATAAGTGTCTTTTATATACAGACCACGAGACGTTTCAGGCTTATTGAAAGTTAGGTACCCCAGCTTTACATGTCCCTCCATCACGCCACACAAGCACCAGATTCATGTCTTGCCTAAGGTCATAGTTTTAGCACTGGGACAGGACGAGATCAGGTCGTGCACACATGGTTGTTACACACTCGTTCATCCAGCCATCCATTTTCTTCCCCTTAAAGTGGTTCTCACCCCCGCTCCTCGGAGCTTACGTCACTCAGATTTCCTGTTCAAATCTTCCTCTAAATGGGCGTAGCCTGGAGGACTAAAGGGGGCGTGAACGAGACTGGGCCGTTTACATTGCTCTGGGCGGGGGGCTGCTGACGTCAGGTCTTGCTTCAGACGTCAGGTCTTGCTGCCGCGCCAGTGTTGGCGCCAGATTCAAAATTCGAATGTAGTAATACAGGTCGCCAGCAGATGGCGCCTCACAGACGGTTTTAGGCAGAAAGTTGTTCTTTCAACTAATTTGCACCAAAGTGACAAAATTATGACCAGGATATGTAGACAACACTATTGGACACTCATTTATACCGTTTATCAGCAAAAAAAAGTGGATTTGAGGGTGAGTTGTCCTTTAAAGATGCAGTTAGCGATGTTGTTAGCTTATTTTTTTATTTTTTTTTATTTTTTTATTTTTTTATTTAGGCATACAGGAAAATACATAGTTACAGTACAATAAACAACAAAGGTACTAGTGGGGTTAGGGTAGGGTAAGTGTGTGTGTGTGTGTGTGTGTGTGTGTGTGTGTGTGTGTGATATAAAGCTGCGAAATATATACAAACATGTACACCTACATATACTCTTTCACATATATAGACCAGGATGCAATAACTATGACAATCAAACGGCAACTAACAATAAAGAAACAACGTACAAAAAGAATAGATAAGTAGATATTTGAAAACAATGACAATAACAATACTTATGTTATGTTTTCCCCTGTGCTAGTGTTGCGTTAAAAAATGTGTGGGGCCTAACAACTCCAGGTTGTTCACCCTCATTGAAAGGCCCCTCTCCACTTGCCCTGTGCTATTTGTGTTCGCTATTATTATTACCCTTACTATTATTATTATTATCATTATCATTATCATTATCCTTCGTATTGTTATTATTAGCGATGTTGTTAGCTTAGCCGTAGCACCAACTCGAAACCACTCCCGGTCAGCACTAGATCATATACGGAATCGGGACGGAAGCGGAAGTAAATATTACAAATTACCTATTAATGCCTAAATTTAACCAGCTATTCCCATAAAATAACCCCAACCCAGCCTTAACCCTAACCTTAACCATCTTACTCAGACGCCTAAAACTTAACCAGTCACCACTTAAGGACATATTAGTCTAAAACTAATTCGAAAGTACGAGTATTACTTCCGGTTTCGTCCCGATTCCGTATATGATCTAGTGCCGACCAACCACTCCCCCCTCCCCTCGCCTCTCCACCAAAACAAACATCCAGCATTTTCTTTTCTTTGTCAGAACAGGGAGAGTGGGTGGCAAACCTGAAATTGGCCTTTTCTGTTCAGCCATTTAATGTTTTAGAAAATAATCAGAGAAACAGGAAGAGGGTGAGGGGGGTAAACGCATCCCATTGGTTTGTTTTAATCGGTCTGCTCCAAAATATTTTTTATTAATTTTGGAGACTATAGGCATCTGGTCAATTCCAATAATATTTTAAAACATGATTACTTCACTACTTTTAGGGTTTAGGGCCGTTTTCCTACAATATTTTAAAAAATCCATCTGGAAAAAAATGACTGACTGCATCTTTAATCCATTTCTGAGGGTGACAGTAGGAGCTGCACCCAAGGACACAATCCACCGCAGATATCAGTGAGAGTAGGTGGAGAAGGTCTAGCTCAAACCCGCGACCTTCAGGCTCAAAGGCCAACGCTCTACCAACTGTACCTCATGTCGTACAATATTTCAACTTGTATTGAATGTGAAAGATTGAGGTTAACGTAACCAAAGTGGTTTAAAAACTTTTGAATAATGTATATTTTAAGGGCAAAAGTTGAGCTGGAACCGGTCATGATTTTTTTATACCAATGTGATGTCCTTCTCAAGTGTACATAGATCAGTGAGTGGGTGATGTGGGTTGGTCTTACATTTATTTTGATTCAAGTTGGCGGGTATGTTAGACCATGGTTTTGCATTTTTAAACGTACAAGTCATAAGCCTTCCCTTCCTATTATTTAATTTTGGTTATTCAGGAGTTGGCTTATAGTGAAAAAGGGGCTGAAAAATGTCTGATTCTGATCAATATTCCAAAAATATTGTAAGGTCTTGTCCAATGTCTGTAAAAATGTCTGGACAAGGATAACTAATTTCCGATGGACACGTGTCTGTGGTATTTTGCTGTAAAATTGACTGGTGTTTTTCTGCATTTTAGCGCTCCAAAAATATAGGACTAAAGTCAAAGTCAAAGTACCAGTTCTCTTCATACATTTCCCCCAAAGCTTTCAGAGCCTCCGAAGTTTTAGAATGGCAATGCCAGATCAAATGTGACTGGATGGTGACCGAGCCTCTGAGTGGAGAGGATGGAGTGTCTAAGGGGAGGAGAGTTGGCATGCTCTGGAGGAAGAAGAAAGAATATTAGGATCATCTCTCCTCTTTGATGTTGACCTGTTATGACATATCAAGCCCACTTTTCCACTCGGCCGAGCCCCTGGGTACAGCCTCCGGGCGCTTCCCTCTCTCTGCTCATTCTCCTTCTCCTAACCCTTCCATCCGACTCAAAGTGAAGGCCGTTTATGTAGCTGAAATGAGGCGTTCTTCAGGCCAAGACCCCATGTCACTACATTTGTCTCCAGATATCTGACCTGGCCTGGCTTGTTTTAGTAATGCCAAACATTTGCATTGGACACTCAAGTTTGCATCAGATCATTTGCATGTTTTTTCCTGCATATGCAAAATCGCAATTGACGATCCTGACTGTTAACTTGTATTATTTCGTTCTACAGTAAACATGAGGGCTTGAAGGGAAACATGTTTATCATCATTGTTGTCTCTTCTCATTCACACATTTGATTTGAGAGAGATGCGTGTCCCCAATTTCACCAATACACCTTCTTTACTTACATACCACAGAATACCATAGCCTTGCGCACACGTATTAGTATTCCTTCATTCAAATTTATACTGTTTATTAGTGCACACCTGTATATACCCCCCACCAATACAATTGAAGAGAAAGTACATTTAATCCGTGTATAGGCCACACCTGATTATAAGCCGCATGTTTCATTCATCCATTTTCTTCACCTTAATTAATTTCTGGCTCTGGGGGTGGCAATCAGAGCTGCACCAGCCACTCACTGATCCTCCTGCAGGTTATGGGTCCACAGGAGGATGGCTGCTCTAGTCTGAGCAGCCTTTGACAGGTTGTGATGTTGGAATCTAACACTTCCTGCTGGCGCAAAACAATATACTGTTAACTCGTGATGACCAGAGCACTCACTGATGAATCATCTCTATTTTGACAATAACATTCCTATTAAAATGATGAATTTATTGAGCTCTGTCTATAGATCTATAGCTTTGTATTTCCCTGTGTGACTGTTCTCTGCTGTTCACATAGACTCACTGAAGGACGAATGTGTGCTGCAGCGTCAGCTCTGGAGATCAACAGATCTGTCCAAATCTGGTCCCTCAAAATTATAATGTACATACATTGGCATTGCGAGCTAGGCCGCAGAGTTCAAAGCTCTGGAAAAATGTAGCGGCTTATAGTCTGACAAGTATTTAGTGCGTTTTTAACTGCGTAGTGTGATGCTAAAGACTAGAGCAGTTAAACAATTCATGACAAAAAGTGAAAAAATATCTGGAATTCAGGCAACATTGTCTATCTTTTTTCTTGTGAGATTTGTAGTTTTTAGCTCACTTTTGTTTTCATTAGTAATTCCTGTTGTTTGTCCCTAGAGTCTTGAAAAGAACAAATCAGACTCTTATCAGAAAACATGTTATCTTTTGCATACTTGCAAGATCCTTGTGAGTCACTACTGTATTTCTTCAGTACTTCTGTCTTAAAAAGTTCATGCACCGGACGTGTTTTACTTCACAAAAACGAGAAGGGAAAGTATAAATATTCACGCCACATAAAAATGGTTAAACAAAACCTGTTTTTAACCTAGACTTTCATATCTGAGTAGAAGCCTGTCTCTCGAGACTGTTCCTGGTTCAATCGGCATGAATCTTAATGTTTAGTCCTGACTCTGAGCACCAGCACGAGGTTTTATCCCCTTTTACATTTAACATGAATTTTTTTTTTCTTTTTTGCTTGCTGCTTCTATTTAGGCTGAGGTGAGCGTTCGCGATCGTCTGGAAAACCAGCCGCACCCACAAGACAAGAGGACTCCCCCCATCTCCTCCCCCCGGCCTCTCCCACACCCCTTTGGCCTTCCACCCAGCGCTGTCATGCAGGACCCCAGGATACAGAGCCTCAGGTAAGACCGTATGAGGAGAGCCCGACTAGACGTACATTTCTGTTGTTGTTACCAGCAGAAGGCACCCAAGAGAAATACAATATAGTTTGTCTACAGCTGCCATGTTTTCCTCGGCTATGCTAAAAGAACATGTAATATGCAGCCCGCTACACTTGGAGAAGAACAAATGAATGTGCGTGACGTAGTGCAACAAGTGCAGCTGGGTACGGCCTCATCCCGGGCCGTCAGGGGGAGAGGAGTTATGCTTTGGCTGGGGCTGTAAGCGAGTGCGCAGCTGCAGAGAGGAGGACTGAAGGCACATACACACAACATAAGCTAAAAGAGGTGAAGTAGACTATTATGAAAGAGCTCGTAGATTTAGGGTGTTACGTGTCTGCAGGATTAATTGCAGTCTACAGTCGAGTGTCAAAAATTGGGGTTTTCCCTAGAGTTATGGGGGAAATCCACAAGTAGGTGTCAAAAGTGACTAGCTAGGGTAGATTAATAACTGTTGAGTAATTGCTCGAGGCTCAAAGCGGTCAGATATGAATTAACTGAGACAGCAAGCCCCATGTCAGAAAAACCCCTAGGTCAGAATATGTAACGAATCAATATGTGACATGTGTAAGAAGGGAATCCAGGATTGGTCACGCACAGAGGACGAATTTCCTTACAAGTGTACCTTAACCTTTCATCTATTCCATTATATTTATTTAAGATGTGACTTCTAATTGTCTGTTATTCAGGAAAAAAGTGTCTCTCAATATGCAGCACTATATAAAACCTTGAACAAGCCTCTGTGTCGTGTCACCCCCAGTTTGCCCGGGCAGATGCACCCTGGGGTCCCTCCTGGTGCGGTCCCAGAGGAGTATCTCCGAGCGCTCCGTCCCTATGGCGCCTCAGAGGACCTCCGCCTGGCCTCGCTGCCCCTGGGCCTGGACCCTGCCGCTGCCCACGCTGCCCACGCTGCTGCTGCGTACTACCACCCAGCCTACCTCCACCACCCTCTGTCTCTGCAACGGTGAGACTCGCCATTTGGACCCGACTCTTTGGAATAACCGTGCTTGAACTAGTCTGGGTCTCATTTTGACACAAATTGAGTGTGAGCGAGGGGGGCACAGTATATCACATAAATATTGTTATGGCGACATTGGCGAGTGTATTATTGATCTCAAAGATGTGCAATAGTTTCAGGTATGAATCATGTGTGGATTTTGTCTTGCATCAGCTTTGCCATTCGCTGCCAGAGCCACAGACTCTCGATAGTTGCTGGACAGAACAGAACACAACATGGCAGGAGAATAGCTTGGCAAAATGAGAGCAATAGTAATGATTCCCAAAAAAGCACTGCAGTTCCAACAGGGATATTGATATTGGCTTCTTTGAGGAAGGAAAATATCACAATTAAGATTAGGTTTAAGAGATCCTTTATTCATCCCACAGTGGGGAAACTTCGGTGTTGCATTACAAGTTTCAGAAAAGGATTGAGGAGCACACAACACAAGATAAGTGTATATTAAGTATAGCGCCACTGCATACTTAAATAAAATAAAATAAAATCTCTATTGTTAGCGTAGCCTGGCCTTAGCCGTCCGTACTCTCCGTTCAATCATCATTTCACTGCCTGGGTCTTGTCCCCATGTTAGCGATTACAATCGGTTGAATTTCGGCCGACAATTCAGCGAGCGTGGAAGGCGGGTGTTGTGGTTAGTTGTGGGTGACGTCAAGAGTTTGCGTCGAACGGGAAGGTCGTAGTTTGGTATTGGCGAAAAATGTAATAGTCAAGTATTCCGGTCTGGTTCTATCAAGAAATTTAAGCCGGAGCAAGAGGAATGTTTAGCAAATGTAATCGCTGACAAAAATTGTGGCGCTACTCCCCACGGGCTTCGTTAGTGGGAAAGGAGATGGCTAGGCTAAATGCTAAATGCTAGCGACTTATTCGGGTGACTACATACGTCACGGTAAACTCAGATCCAATCGTTTCAATCTGCAAAAGGAGTTAACCCCTCCCACCTGTTCACGGAGCTCAATGGAGCACCTCCAGACCTTAGTACGAAATGTCATTTGTACTATGGTGTGGTACGACCAGGCTATCGTTTGCGTAATCCAGAAGCAAAGTACTGTACTGTATATTGGAAACCCTAATACAGGAAATGAGCAATATCCTTGTCACCACTATTTTATATCACACTTTCTTTCCAATATCATGGCTCCTACAGAGAGCCACATGCAGCATGTGACATTATGAACTCGGTATGAACTAAGTCACATGTGTCAAACACGAGGCCAGCGAGCCAAATCCGGCCCGCAGGACCATTTTTGGTGGCCCCTGAACTGATTTTCAATTACTGTATTATGTTTTACATGGCTTGTTATACCTAATTTTAAAGCTAATACTCTCAAGAAAGAAATTGTGGCATTGAGTCTATTTTAATATTTGAACCCAACGCGTAATTAGATATGCAATAAAAAATGAATCATCGGCACATCAGTCTGCAATTGGAATCTTTGGTCCAGTTTTGGTTCAATCCAAACAAACAGGAACTGAACTAATTTTGTTCCAAAAAATATACCAGGAAATAATTTCCAAACGTATGGTATATAAACGTAATTATTTTGTCTAATTACCGTCATAATTTAAAAAATAAGTGACTTTCCACTAAAATCTTTTGTTCGGCCCCTGACCAGGTATTACTTTTTAAAGTCGGCCACTGACCAAAATGAGTTTCACCAAACTAAGTAGACTTTTCCTGTTTGAAATTCACGCTGACTGTGATAATTTGTTTTCTATAAATAACCGTTCCTGCACTGACCCTGTCAGGTTGCAAGAAAGAGAGCAGTGGGTTTGTCAGGGAAAATGTTGCACCCCAGGTTGGTGAAGAGGAGGATATGGAGAAGCTGAGGAGGCCGATGGTTCTTTTGCTGTATTCTGAAGTAGGAGAAGAGAAAATATAAATGAATGGTTTGATTGGTAAGAAGCAGGAATGAGATAATAAGTATAGGAAATTAAAACATTTTATTATACTTTATTTGATTATATTTTCTCATGAACGTAAAGAATGTACTGTTGACGTAATCGCGGGAATAGCCGAACTAAGTACAACTTTAATGAGGGAGTATAAACTTTACTCAAAATGCTTGAATCATCACACAACAAGTGGGCAGACAGGAAATCATCACAACAAGAACAGCTCTCAAATGTTCATTCAGCATAATATCTCCCTTTGTAAACATACCTTTCTCTCTTTTAGAATGGAGGAGTCCCTGTGTCTCTCGGCTCTTCGCTCGCCGTTCTATTCCGTGCCTGGAGGTGGCGCCTTCCCCTCTCTGCACCCGTCCGCTCTGCACATGCACCTGCCTGGGAGCCGCTACCCCGGGGAACTCAACCACAACGCTCTGGCCGAGAGGTGATAAAACCTCCACACAAGCGCATGCTGTATAACGCACTTTTCATCTTCCATTTGTCGTCACTCTCGTCTCCTCCCTCTCGGGCCTGGGCAGTCTCTTCTCTCTGTGGGGTAGACACAGGTTGCTGAGCGCGGTATTTTTAGCCCGCACTCCCCATAGCGCCTCCTATACGCTGCGTCACTGGCTGCGCATTGTCCTTCACACACACACACACAGGCACGCACACACACACACTTGCATATAGATGCCCTTTGAACAGTAGTGCACGTCAGTAAGACTCATTGTTGTGGTGTCTTCCACTTGTGTCACAATGTGCATTGTTTCCGACTGGGAGGATTGGAGTGGTGTTTATCACCCTGGAGCGCTCGGCATGTTTGCTTTGTACTGTGGATACACTTCAAATCGTTTGAAAAAATAGGCTTATAAGTGACTTCATATTCTGTGTTTGACCATTAAGGCATTTATGTGAATTTGCCATTTTTTTCTTCGAGAGCTATTTATTTGGCAAAGCTCCAATGATCCACTAATATTCAATTACTTTTTCACAATAACCTTTCCAACTTGATTTTGATACTAATCAGATGCATGTGTAATTGTCAAGGCCTTATTGACTACAGATACATGGTCGAACCATACGTGTTGACAGCGTTAGTGTTAGACCAATCAATGAGCAGAAGACGTCTTCAGTCATCATCTCAGTGTGTTTGTTTGCAGTGGGCCCAGAATGCATGTGCATGTGCCTGTGCTCTTCCTGTGGTTACCTATTAAGTGCTCGTCTGCTCGTGCTCAGTCATGCTGCGGATGGATTCTTGTGCATATTAGTGTGTACATTTGGCCAGCATTGTTTGTGCGAAGTTTACCAGTGTGTGGCTAATGTCTGGCCCGTGTTGGGTGTTGCATCTCTCACCTCTCCCCCGTGTGTCAACCTCCCCCACAGGCTACAGATGGAGAGCGAGCTGCGCCAGCGAGAGCACGAGCGCGAACGCGAGAAGGAGAGGGAGCGAGCGGCCAAGGGAGCGGAGCGAGAGAGGGAGAGGGAGAGAGAGAGAGAGCGGGAGAGGGAGGACGAGGACAGACAGAAGGAACGCCACCGGGACAGACAGCAGCAGATGGTCCGAGCGGCCGAGAGCCACTACCTGGCCGAGCTGCAGGCTCGCAGGGCACTGCCGGAGGACAGGCCACGTCCAGGAGAGAGGCTGACCCCAAACAGACCGGGTACCTCCACACAAGCACATGCCACACACTTGTGTTCTCACCAATGTGTAGTCAAAGAACAGGCCATATGTTCTGATTCACTCAGCAACTGAAGAGCGTGTTCCGTGTGAGTGCAGCTCAGTGCTGATCTGAGGAGAGGGCCATAGACCTAATTACTGCATTCACACGGCTGTAAATGTACCTTTTGTCTGCAGCTCACAGACCACACCATAGATAACCACCTACACAATGAGGATTATATTAGCCCTGTCTTTTACTGATCTTTGATTAGGTCACTGACCATCTGCTGTGAAAAGCATTACTATTTAATTTATGAGAAAGTGACCATTTGACTAATTGGCCCCACATCATGTAACTGAATCAGTGGCCCTCCACCCTTTTCACATTGTCTAGTAACTCATGAATATATAATGAGAGAGCCTCCTTCAGGACAAGCATGCATTTTAATTGTGTGTTTATGTGTAGACTTAACCAACTATCTTCTGTTATTGTTATTGTTCTGTAGATAAAGCCAAGGAGTCTGAGCACTTAAGTTTCACTGCTCCAAAACCTCTGCTGCAGTCCAGCCTGCACTCCTCCAGGGGTTCTGTCCCACACCCTGTGCCCAGCTTGGTGCCCTCACACATGGGCAAGCATCACAGTAGTCTGGCAGCTGCCATGATGAGTCAGAGGATGAATGAGGAAGTGTGGCTGACCCGACAAAGGGGGCAGGACCGAGAGCGGCCGTTGGAGCTGGACCTGCGCTCGCCGGGGAAGGCCCCAGAGCCATGGAGAGAACATCAAAGGTAAAAGTCTTAAGTGTGTCCTTGGCCTTCTTCTAATACCAACACATGGTAATCACTTGTTCTTTGTACATCTTCAGGCCCAACACTGTTCATCTGAATTCGCACAGTAAGGAGCCCCCTCCCTCCCTGGGTGCACCACCTCCCCTCATCTCTCCTAAAGGACCTCCTACTCCAGCAGTCCCACCACCAACAACACTGTGGAACCCTGCCTCCTTTGTGGACAGCCCTCCAGCCCGTAAGATGACCCCCACCACTCCCCCCAGCCGCCCGCCGCCTGGACTGACCCGCACAGACAGAGCGCCCCTCATGTGGGGGGAGAGAACAGAGGACAGCAGCAGGAGGAGAGCAGAGGGCTTAGAGAGGCTCCCCTCTATGAGGGGGACCAGCGTACACGACACAGGCTCCTGGGGCAAAGCTGAGCAGGACAGAACTATTCAGAGTCTTTACCAACGCCATCACATCAACAACCTCCAGCAGAGGACATGTGCCCCTCTGTCTGCTCCCCAGAGCAGTGCTGAAGTGGGGGTGCGGGACTGCAGGCGCTCCCCCACTCCTGTGCGAGAGAGGCACAGTCACAGCCGTGTGCCTGACAGTATGCTCGTGTACGACGAGGTCCTACAGCAGCACCGGAGGCTGCTCAGCAAATTGGACCTGGAGGAGAGGAGGAGGAAGGAGGCCCGAGAGGGAGGTCAGCACCTGCTAACTCCTCAAGTAACTTCATTGATTTATTTAATGACAACCAGTAACAATGCTTCTGTGTGACTAGGTTATTACTATGACATGGACGATTCTTACGACGACAGCGATGAGGAGGAGGTGAAAGCTCATTTGAGAAGAGTGACTGAACAACCTCCGCTCAAACTGGACACATCCTCAGAGGTCCACACCTTTCACACCTGCCTCAGCTTTTCACCAAACTGTTGACATTTAACATCATTGTTTTGTCTTGTAGAAAGTGGACTTTTTGAGCATGTGTGGTCTTACAACACTTTCAAATCGCAATGAGATCCTTGCACAGAAGAGGAGGAAGAGGAGGAGGATGCTGAGGGAGCGTAGTCCTTCTCCACCAGTGACTCAAGTCAAGAAGAAAGCCTGTCCGTCTCTGACCACACCGTTCACCGCTGACCAGATGAACCGGACGCCTGAGCTGGGAGAGAAAAAAGACTTCCTCAGCACGTTCAGCCTCAGCCATGTGAGCCCTGCCCAGAGGAGAGGTACGTTCTGCCAACATCTATGTGCTCCACATGCACACATGCACACACGCACACATGCACACACGCACACATGCACACACGCACACATGCACACACGCACACATGCACACATGCACACACGCACACATGCACACATGCACACATGCACACATGCACACATGCACACACGCACACACGCACACATGCACACATGCACACATGCACACATGCACACATGCACACACGCACACACGCACGCACGCACGCACACACGCACACACGCACACACGCACACACGCACACATGCACACATGCACACACGCACGCACGCACGCACACACGCACACACGCACACACGCACACACGCACACACGCACACACGCACACACGCACACATGCACACATGCACACATGCACACATGCACACACGCACACACGCACACATGCACACATGCACACATGCACACACGCACACATGCACACACGCACACACGCACACATGCACACATGCACACATGCACACACGCACACATGCACACATGCACAGATGCTATGGTTGGTCCTGTGGGAACACTTTGCATACTGTTCAAAGGGTAAACAAAAATAGCACACCTAAAACATGGTATTTTTAACGTTTATGCTCTGCGGCCAAAGCCTGCCAAATAAGTTTGCATAAATCAATTATTTTTTTTATATTTTATTGTAAGTCTGCAATAATTATTAACTGGTCAAAACAAATACAAACCTGTCTGATGTTCATAAAATGCTTTTTATGTTGAAAACGCATCTGTTTTGAATAGTTTCCTCTAGGGACTAAACAACTAGAACATGGACACAAGGTTGATTTGACATGTTTACATTTCTCTCTAAAAATATTATTCAAATTACCATCCCTGGTGTACGTTTTGGGTTTTTATTAAGTGATATTCTTTTTGGTTGAATTAAGGTAAATAAGTATATTAAAAAACAAGTTTACATGAACCAAATGTGTTTATGTTGGTTTAATGATATCATGTTATCTACCAATGCGATGAATCATTAGAAAATATTTTTGTTGCAATACTTGGGGCCTCTTGTGCCTTTGAGGCCCTATGCAGGGCCAGGTTATTAGGTAGGGTTCACACTTACACTTGCAGTTAAATGTGAAAAGAGTACATTTTGTTCACATATACAGTAGGTTTTCATGTTGTCATATGACTTAACTAACAGCGATAGAGAAAAATATGAAACAACAGACGCCTCTTGTAACTGGAAACAACATGATTTAATGACTAGGCATTTTTACACAATGTTGATTTGTTATGATCAAAGCTTTGTAAATTACAAATTAACTGTGGGCTTCTATGTTGGGACGAGCCTGGTTGCACCACACTATAGTACAAATTACATTTTGTACTTGAGCTCCGTTTACAGATAGGAGGGGTTAACTCCTTTTTCAGATTGAAACGATTAGATCTGAGTTTACCATGACGTATGTAATGCACTCGAGTGAGTCGTTAGCATTTAGCCTAGCTTTAGCTATCTCTGCTGCTAACGGAGCCCGTGGGGAGTAGCGCCACAGTTTTTGTCAGCGGTTACATTTGCTAAACATTCCTCTTGCTCTGGCTTCAATTTCTTGATAGAACCAGACCGGAATACTTTACTATCACATTTTTTGCCATTGCCAAACTACAACCTGCCCGCTCGACGCAAGCTCCTGACGTCACCCACATCTAACTACAACACCTGCCTTCCGCGCTCGCTGATTGGTCGGATGGAATTCAACCAATTGTAATCGCTAACACAGGGACCAGACCCAGACATTACATGCAGGCAAATGCGGATTGAGCGGAGTGTACGGATTACTAGGCCAGGCTATGTCGGGACTATTTAAAAAAAACAAAAACAAAAAACATGAGGGCAATAGCTTCTAAAACTGGATGGAGTCGAAGTAATAAGTCCATAAACTATGCTCTGATAACAGACCAACTCGACCACAATAAAAACACATACGGCCTACCGCTGTAGAGGCCACAGGGTTCAAACCACTTGAAAAAAGCAGCGGCCTTAAGTTTGGTAATTATGGTAGTAATCCTTCAAGGAAATCTTTCATAACTAAGAAGAAAGGAAAAGATTTTGGGAAAGATATTCATCCTTTAACATAATTTAGGATTTTATGAACACAAAGACAACATTATAAATGTGTTCTCGCTCCCACAGAAAAGCAGAAGACTGAGGAGCTGCTAAAGGCTATTAAGAAGAAGACTGTCACACTGGACACTCTCAGATACAACCCCGTACATCCATGTAGCACTCCCTCTCCTCCTCCCTTAAACGGTACAGGACACAATATAATGATACAGTATAACAATACAATATAATAGTTCAATACCGTAATAAACGACAGGCTTTCATTTGTCTTAACTATTGCTTTCATTTTTCTCCAGGTGACTCCAAATCTGTGTCTCTTCCAAACGGACATCCTTACCCAGACTCTCCCAGCCCCTCTCCCCCGTTCCTGCACAAGCCGAAGAATCCGCCCCCTACCGACGCACTTAAGTCTTCCGTCGCTCCTTCCTCCCAGGCCCCCCACCACGAGAAGACGGACTTTATAGAGCCAAACAGGAAGCCCCATAGTCTCCACAACGGTACCGCCGACTCTCCCCTGAAAAAGGCTCCGAGCTGCGGGCAGAACGGGCGCAGCCGACCCTGGGAGAAGTTCACGCCGGAGGTCTTTGCTCAGCACTTCCACCAGGCGGTGCTGCAGTCCACACATAACAAGGGTGAGTGCACAGGAGAGTGGCAACATTGAGGTCTCTCATACCAGAGAGCATACCATTATAAATAACGACATTCAATTATTTGTTATTTTCAATTTCATAGAAGCTTTAACCCTTTAGTGTTTGTTGTGAAACAGACAAAATGAGGAACCCTGATACTGTATAGAGGACTACTAAAGTCAATAACAGAAATAAATGAAAGAAATATTTAGGTAACGTGGGATTTTGTTTGCTGTATAGAAACTGTCCTTCTACAACACTTATTCTTTTTAGCTCCTAACTTATTTTAATCAACCAGTGAATTACATGATGTGTATGTGTTATACAGTGAGAGTCTAATGTAGATTTCCCCCTGAAGTAATATGACCATAAAGTTGTAGTTAGTGGCCTAACACCAGACAACATATCATTAATTCATTTTCTTGTTTATTGGGCACTACAACAATCGCTCTCGTATGAGAGAAGAAGTCAAAAAGACAAATGATGTTTACACTATGGTGCCGAATGATTACTGCTGTTTGTGGGAGTGAAACATGGGTAAAGACGGCTTCAGCTGCCATCTCCTGGATCTGTGAACTCACTACAAGCTTCAGTCTGTGGAATAGTGCATCATCGTCTTGTCGTTCTCCTCGTCCCAAACGCACATTTCGGCCTGAGTGTTGTGCTGCTCGAAATTATTTGATCGCTCGCATCAACAAGACTTTGTTAAGATTTACATAAAATCTCCCTTAAGTAATCTTTCTCTTGGCCGAAGAGAGGTGTGCATGTCGCAGCGTGCACATCTGTTTCCCTGCAGGCCGCTCCTGAATCCGTGTGGTCCTGAACTTCCACTTACTCTTCTCTACTCTGTAGCACATGGGTGCACTGTGCGACATCACACGCCCGGCTTTTATGAACTACAACTTTGACAGCGTATCTTTGACAGTCACAGCACTGTATAACAATATTATTATTAAACTTTCAAAGTGATTAATCAATTAAGTGCACTAATGTTAAGGCTGGCTTTCATCATTACACCAGTTAGTGTCCCTCAAAAAGTAGTTCTGGAGGAAAAGGGTTGTAGACCCTTTTTGTATTTAGGATTATTTTAACTTAATTTTCTAGTCTACGCATTGATTGAACATCTTCGTTTTTAACTTTTTGCTCTTTTTCCGTCTAGCGTGACAATAAATCACTCCTTAATTACAATGAAAATCTTAAAATTGCCTGCTGTTGATCAAACCTGGGGCTTTGAGAGAGCCATTAGTGTGTGTGTTACAGGCGTGTGCTGCCCTCTAGTGTTGAGTTGTTCACTACTATAGCAATTTTCTATTTTTTGTTCTTTGAAGTAAAAGGTCCAAAGTTTATACAGTTCCTCGGGCTGAAACAAGTTTATCGACTAATCAATTATCAAAAAAGATTGAACTAATTTAGAAATCAATAAACCGTCTTTCTTTTTTTACCTTCTATTTATTTGAGAAGAGTGACTCAGATCAATCTATAATGACTGCAGAATGAAATTAAACTGTTTACAAAGTATTATCAAACAAACAACTCAATGTCTCTATGTAGATTAAACATTGGATCTTTGTTTTGGTCAAATGTCTAAAAAATCTCATTCTCTGTCATTTGGCATGTAAAAAACTAATCAGCGCTCTGGCAGAGTGGTTAACACTCTCACTTCTCTGTTAGAAGGGCCAGACCTCCATTCTGGGCTTTTCTGAGTGGAGTTTGCATGTTTTCCCTGTGTCTGCGTAGGATTCCTGCAGGGGCCCCGGTTTCCCTTCTGCAAAAAGCAATGGCTCCCCTCAGTGGGACGTTCCTGGTTAAGTAAAGTTCAATATTCTATTAAGCAGAAGAATAATCAATTATCAAAATAATCATTAATTACAGCCCTAATATATTCAATTGAGAAATGCCCTAAAACCTTTTGTCCAACCTCTTATTTATACAAATCAATGCAACCAAAAATATACCTCTACAAAGTTTGGAACAGCTACTTTGCAGATGAGAATCCAAACTGACGTGCGTTGTGGTCATGTTTCAGAGGGGCTCCTGACCGCAGACCACTCTCTGCCGCACAAAGCGTCTTCGCTGAAAGGCCCTCAGCCAAACCAGAGCACGGCGCACATGAACGGTCACCACGGCCCTCCCCACGGCTCCAGCAGAGACCGGCCCCCAGTCTACGAGCCGCTGTCCGACGAGGAGAGCCAGTCTGGGCCGGACGAGGAGGACGAGGACACAGAGGAGTACGGCGCAGCCCCCAGAAAGTGGCAAGGCATCGAGGCCGTATTTGAAGCCTACCACCAGTACGCAGAAGGTGTGTGGTCCTGGAGAAAGGCAAAAGTTCATTACCACAAAATGACGACATGATATTAGTCAAATCTTATTCACTATGCTTCACAAGACTTTGGAATAATATCAGCATTTGTTTTTTATTTTGGCAAAGTAGTGAATAACGGTCACTAGAGTCACTTTTTATTCTCAATCAATTGTATTTTCTGAACTACCACGATATAAATTCTGTAACAATAAAATTTACTTAACATAAGAAAAATATAGAGAACATTTTAAATGCTCACAAGTTGTGGTTCTGTAATATTAGGATTTATTATTATTTTAATTCAATTTATTTTTGTTGTAAACGTAGCATTTTGTACAAATCAGTTTAAACATGTTATCTTTTACATACTTGTAAGAAAGAGCCCTTTGATTTGACGATATGAAGCTGAGAGCTGATTGGCTGAGCAAGAGTGGTCCTCTCTTTATCACGATTATGATTTGATTACATTTTTGGGGGATTGAAAGTTAGGTTTCCAAGGTTTACATTTCAATAGACATGTGCCAAATGATAAATATGTATTTAAATGTGATTTTGCATTTAATTCTAGCTTCTTATTAGAGAGTGCCTCCTTATTTTGCAAAAGCTAAAGATTATATTTGATGGTGTTTTATCTAGTAGAGCTTAGTATATAGTTATTTTGTATAGAGTTAATTTACCTTGTGCTGTGTGCTCATTCCTACTGTTCTATAACTGGTGATGCAACAATGAAATTTCCCCTCTGTGGGATTTGTTAATCTTAATCTTTCATTTGTACAGAGCACAACATAGAGAGGCAAGTCCTTCACAGCCAGTGCAAGAAGCTGGAAGCACACAACCACCACCTCACTCGGACGGCGGAGCAGCTCTCCCACACCATGGGGGTAAGGATTGAAATCATGACACGCATTACTTCCAACGTGGCACACTTTCTATCAGTGTATTTTTAGCTTTTTGGCGACAGCAGGCCGATCCAGTCCTCTCTCTCATCCTCCTTTTCTTTTTGTCAGGAGCTGATGAGTCACAGGCAGAGGGTTCGTGAGGAGAATGAGAGACTACAGGCCCAGCTGGAGCACTTCAGGAGGTGTCTGACTCTTCCCAACATGCAGTGGGGCAGGGGCCAAGTCAACGGACACACGCCAAGGTGACCCCCCAGCACCGGCTTCACCCACGGAGGAAGTGACATGGACAGCACAGTAGCAGCAGAATCGGGGCCAGGAGCACGGTCCAAGCTCCCTACTTGAAGATTACCCCAGAAAGACGTCAGGCTGGATTCTCTGACGTAACTAAGGACGAGCCGTGACCATATAAGGACAACGTGTTCTGCAGAAGGAAGGGTTATGACCATATAAGGACAACACATTCTGTAGAAGGAAGAGCCGTGACCATATAAGGACAATGCGTCTGAATTCATCTCCATGATGGCTTTAGGATGGTCTAGCACTGAAAGTTTTTTCCTACTTACAATTATAGATTAAAGGAGATGTTTTATGCTAAATCAACCTATTACAAAAACCTCAAACCTCAAGTTGTAGGATTGCAAAGGGTTGAAATTGAAGTTGAAAGATTTCATTTTCAAAGAGGGAATTAGTGGGAACAAACAGGGAATTTTGATATTTGCGGAAGTAGTGAACGCTGAATGCAAGCAGACATACAAATATTAGTTATAATTGCATTAAAACGTTATCTTCATCACATTCTACCATGAGCTTTAGGTTTCCAGGCCAAAAAGGGTTGGAAATATTATGTTAATTAGCCTTTTGACCATGTGTTAAATAACGTTTTATATATAGATTTCTTAAAATTCCACTAAGAAAATAGTTTTGGAAATGATACACGCTTTTGCAATCCTAGTTCAATGCATAACCGAGCTGATCACTTAGTTGATAGTAGCTTACCATTTTAAAGTCACACATTATTAAAACACATGAATTAAATTGAAAATATGAAATGATAAAAGGATTTCCTGAAATATGAAAAAGCATATAATGTCCCCTTTAAGTCGATACAGCTCCACAAATAGCCTCCGTGGACCGCAGTGGCGAGGCGTTTGAGTGAAGGAATCAAAGCACACCTCAGGCCTTAAAACTTGACAGGATGCACTTGAATTATATTTTTTTTATATGTTTGAAGAAATACTTGACTGTTGTCTGTGTGGTACCTTGCTGTGTGTAAATTAACGTGTAAAATAAGTTGTCTGAGTGCCGATAAAGGTTTTGTAGAGAATTACAGCTAAACAATATAATCAACAATGAAAAATTGTTATTGTGACATTTTTTTTTCAAAGTTTACGTGATTTTTCATTGGTCAGTTGTGATGAAGGATTTTGGAGGGTTTTGTTCAATGAGTATTTAATGTGGGAAGCCATATTATTTAGATATTGCTGCTGGTCAGAACTTGGACACCGTGGCTTGGGAATACAAACATTTTAAGATAAAAGTTTGTTGTTTTTGTCTGAGCTGCTTTGAACATGCCTTTTCACAATGTTTACTGATACAGTAGGACTCTTTTGAAAAAGATCTGAATCGTCTCAAGGGGAAGTCTGGGCCAATAGAATTTACATGTCATAAGTAAAGGTTTTTCACATGGCAGTCAAACGTCTGAAGGAATTATTGATGACTGAGGATAAGGACATTTGAATGATTCCTTTTTGCGTTATTTTAAAATGGGCCTCTCTTTCAGCAGTCTTCTGTTGCTTAGTTTTGTTCAAGACTTAAAACATGGAGCAGTTATGTTTGACTTGACCTTCCCACAGACATGTTTTGTTCAATTTACGGACACGCTGTGAAAGTCCAGCCTCTGTTTCAGTCATGTTTTATGGAGATATATACATGTAATTAATTATTTATTAACATAATGTTGTACATTCTGATTTACATTAAAACATTTGTTTAAAAAAAAATCTGTCCATTGTCTGGTTTTATTTATTTTTTGTGTTTATATCACCAAATAAAACATTACAAAATACAACATACAACATTTACAAAACTGTGAATACAATGATGATCTGTCCCTTCAAAATAAGTACATGTGAAAATGGTGCCAAAGCTACTGCACTACATTCTCGTTTGTTCACTGTAAATTAACAGTCACCATCTTAATTTACAACTGGTGTTCAATCCTCTGTGGTGCCGCAGATTCACCTTTGGGGATCCACTCAAAAATATATATACATTTTGTCAATTACAGATTAGAAAGTCAGACAGACAGACAATTAAAAAAATCATTGGCCAGTGATCCATGAAGACAGATTAACCAATGTTCACAGGATTATTTTTAGGAAATGAATAAACCTCTAGAGTCAATCTGGAGTAGACAAGTAAATAAATGAGTCCCGATATGGAAGTGTAAACGACTTTTTAGTATTATGCTTGTGCGCATGTGTGTTACCTTGTGACCTATGTTTCGCGGGTTTTGGTCCTCTATATTTAAATGGGGACCTCACTTTTTGGGAGTCTCCAACTACAATTTGCCTCTTTCTGTGTCTCTCATCCTTCTCCCGTTTGGTACGCTACAGAAGGTACGCATGCTGAAGCCAGTTCATTTTCTTTGTGTTATTTACTTTTAGATTGTAGGGCAGGGCTTGGTTAGCACTGATGGGAGACCATTGGGAACGCCAGGTGCCACAGTGACGTGAGAATAATTATTATTATTATAACTAATAAAAATAATAACTATATTATTATTCTTGTTATTATTATCATTATTATTATTTTTTTTATTCGTGATCTATTTCCAGTTTATGGACTGCCTCCAATTTCGGAAAAAAGATCTTTCCTTCTCCTTCACGTGTGGCTGTTGCTGTGGGATACGGACGTGACGTTGCGTGTAGCGGAAGTGCAGTTGCCCGTCATTGTGCTGTGGTGGTTCCGTGCTGTTTATCTTTACTGACAAAATGCCGGATTTAGCGGTAGAAAATGTGGTAGTTCACCCCCTGGTGCTACTCAGCGTGGTGGATCACTTCAACAGGTCAGTACGTGTAGTACTTTAGGAGTGAATAAAAGCGAGAATATGTTTATACAAGTACTTGTGTTTCCAGTGCTAGGTTAGCACTGCTGAGTCAGAGCCCCGCACACAGTGAATGGACATGGTTAGCATTGGCTAACTAGCCGTGTGGATGCTGTGTTTTGACTTTTTGTTGGATGAATTAAACTACATGAAGATATTAAAGCTTCATATTGGTTATCTGTATTAGACATGCAGCTAAGTCAGAGTGTGGACTAATCTGTGAATTCCTCGTCCTACAGGATAGGGAAGGTTGGAAACCAGAAGCGAGTGGTTGGTGTTCTTCTTGGATCGTGGCACAAAAAGGTCCTTGATGTTTCAAATAGCTTTGCAGGTGAGGACTCGTGTCATAGCTGTCTGTGTTAGTGAATGCAAGGGATGTCAGCAATAATCGTACACGACCTGGACACGGAAAGAAGGCTTGTTAAAACGTGTATCTCCAAACGTTCTCAAAATTGTACCTCTCTCGAATTTAAATCATTTGACATTCAAATTTTATTGGCATTGAATAACCACAATTCTAACTACTATTTATACATTGTTTTGTCTTTGCAGTGCCATTTGACGAAGATGACAAAGACGACTCTGTGTGGTTCTTGGACCATGATTACTTAGAGAATATGTACGGCATGTTTAAGAAAGTAAATGGTAAGTCCTATTGTCTGGAAGTGCAACATAGTTTTGTTTGTGTATCATTTAACTGCATGCTTACAATAATGTGAATGTGTCCTGTGACAGCCAGAGAACGGATAGTTGGATGGTACCATACAGGGCCAAAGTTACATAAAAATGACATTGCCATCAATGAGCTCATCAAACAGTACTGCACTAACTCGGTAGGTTTGACTCTTTTGTTGATAGCCATTTTTGAATGATTTATTGGCTTCATTTGTATTTTGTTTGTTTTTCATCCCACAGGTATTAGTCATCATAGATGTAAAACCAAAAGATTTGGGTCTGCCGACAGAAGCATACTTCTCAGTGGAGGAAATCCATGACGTATGTTTACTCTCACTCTATATTTATAGACACTGTTTCCATGTCATTAACGTCCTGAATGACCCTCTTCAGTCCTGAATGACTACTGTCTCTCAGAAGTTTCCAAGTGTGTAATTGGTAGCAGACGTCTTTGTCGAAGCTGTTTCACTCAAGGCAGAAGTAATTCAGAACATTGATTTCAACACTCAAAATTTTCTACACAATCATGGTTGAAGTGAAGTTCCGACTGAAAAGTATTCAGATTATTTGTTTGATTGAAATTTAGTGAGCAGCAACATTACTTTTACAGCCTGTGCTGGATACACAGAGTTGTAAACGGTGCATGCACAGAACATTTTTCTTGACCACAATATCCAGCAGGCTTTGGACACTGTTGCTTTGCGCCCTTTATGAGCTGTAGAAGGCGGATTGGTGTGCTCAGGTCTTTAGTCATACACGTGTCTGCTATTAAGTCATTTTCATGGTGTGTTTGTCATTGTCAGGATGGAACCCCCACATCCAGGACATTTGAACATGTTACTAGTGAGATCGGTGCAGAGGAAGCAGAAGAGGTCGGAGTGGAGCATTTGCTGAGGTGATCAGAGATGTTTTGAAGTGTGTTAAACTATTTGTACTATTAAATGTTTGCTTTTAAGTGGTCATAGTCAAACACACATACCTACTACCACAAAATATTTTACTGAAGCAAGGATTAAGCAACCAATGCAGATTGTCTGCATTGGTTGCTTAATCAAATTAGCAACCAAAGTAATTAACTATACAAGCCACCGAATTACAGTGCATCAACACTGAAAAGCATCAACAGGGGCCAGCATGCTCCACAGCTTGGCTCCGTTTTACACCTAATCATAGGCACCACAAGCTGGAGCTGGCCCTGGGACTTATGTGCCCATGGGAGGTGGTAAACTGGGATGAGGTCTGGGATGTACTCAAAGGCCGGCTCATTCAAAGTTTTTTTTTTGTACCGATGAACGGTTACAGTAGTCAAAACTAGATTGAAAACAGACTATTACAAAGATGTCATTAGCGTTGACGTTGACACATTTTTCACATTTAGTCAGTATACATGGAACTACCAAGGTTATTATAAAAAATTACTGTTCACATCATTTAAATTCTGATTATTTTCAAATTCTAAATGTTGTGCTGTCTGTTCTGAATGTTTTACTGGACAAGCGATCAATATAGATGATTTTTGTTTTGTTTTTCAGAGATATTAAAGACACAACAGTGGGCACATTGTCCCAGCGCATCACAAACCAGGTCCACGGCCTAAAAGGACTGAACTCAAAGCTGCTGGACATCCGCTCTTACCTGGAGAGAGTCACAGCAGGAAAACTGCCCATCAATCACCAGATCATCTACCAGCTACAGGATGTCTTCAACCTGCTGCCAGATGTTAACTTACTGGTAAGACCTTAAGGCTGCAGTATTGTTCCCAGTACTTCTCCATACCATATAACTACAGAGATCCCTGTAAGTACAGGCTGAAACTGTTTACTTCTGCGTTGTGGTGTCGGATCCGCAACTCTTGATCCTCTGCTGAACGTGTGTATATGAACAACGGAGCAAATGGATCTATGCACACCCAGCTATAGAATCAGACCACTAAAATTGCACACGCTCTTCTAATTTGCACACGCGGTTAAACTCCTGGTTAAATTTAATATTCTGCTGTATTTCAAACTGTGTCATTCTTTAACATTGACAGTAGATAAATTAAATGTTTGTACCATGAACAGACACACAAAGAGGAAAACCAAAGGATCAAGCTTTTGTGGAAAGCATCTTTTTATAATCTGGTATTTTGACCAAATAATCACAAAAAATTACTTGCATATAATTGTTGTACATTTCTATGAACAAAATTAGACCAGCTGCTTGGATTGAAAGAAAACTGGACATAACTTTGACTAGGTTTATTAATGTTAACTTTGACTTATTGCTTGTTGCATTCAGGGTTCCATGTTTATGATGGTATTCATTACCGGTATGTGTTATTTGCACAGACTCTCAGAGCTCTTACTTTAAAGTTTGATGTCCTCCTAGGGAGTCACACTGATCTAAAATAGGGCTGAAAAGCGGAAGTGCGAGATTTCCACCCGTGGATACAAACAAACCACACGTGCCAGTTGTATGGTGCGGAGATTCTTCCTCGTTAATGGACTTTCCTGTGTTATTTTGGACACATTTCGTCTCTGGGACAGAAAAACTGAGTGAGCGGTCGGAATTAGCTGTGAACTGGCCATGTCCTGACGTTTCCATATGACGGGGAGATGAGAAAGGCACAGGGCCGTGTTCAAACATACAGTCTATGGTTCAAACTCATTGTATATTAATCCACTATCACGCATCAGAAAGAAAATATAGAAACACTATTCCTATGCAAATAAATTGATGTTGTCCCTTACAGCTATCTTTGCTGCCGCCTTCACATTTGTCTGGCATGACCAAAAGCACACCACATAAATAATATTTCTCTTGTGCCGCAGGAGTTCACCAAAGCCTTCTACCTAAAGACCAACGACCAGATGCTGGTGGTGTACTTGGCGTCGCTGATCCGCTCCGTGGTGGCCCTGCACAACCTCATCAACAACAAGATCGCCAACCGGGACGCAGAGAAGAAGGAAGGCCAGGAGAAGGACGACAGCAAGAAGGAGAAGAAGGAAGACAAGGAGAAGAAAGACGACAAAGACAAGGACAAGGACAAGGAGAAGACGGACGCGGCCAAGAAGGACGACAAGAAGAAGAAGTGAGCGCGCTTTTAATCACGCTCTCCACGGATGCGCTCTCCCTCCGGACGCTGCTCTACTTTCGCCCACCACTCACACATGTGCGGGTCCAGGGCTAAAAGTAGGACTCTATATGGGGAGCTGTGTCATTTGAGATGGGCCCGCAGGTCGTCAGCAGCACTCAAACAGACTCTATCCTTAACGAACATGACGCAGCCTCCTCCTCCTCATTAAAAGAGTGTTTCTTCTGTTTTCATAGTTGCCACGCACCTCGTTTAGCTTTTGTATGATGAGAAATGTTTTTTTGTTTCTGTAATATTCAAGAAAATGGGATCATATTAAAGTCTGTCCTTTTCAATTAGTTTTAATTTTTTTGTCTCTCAATTTCATATGCATCTTAAGTTGGGGTACTTGAAGGTATAGGAGGATTTTCCCAAATTTTAGCAAAGAACCGTGTCTCGCATATCACCAGAAGGATTGGTCACTCGTTTTCACATGCATGGATATTTTGCCTCTGCTACGTCTCATCTTAAGATCAGCTTTTTCAGATCCCAAAGCCAAGCAAAAAAGAGTGCACCAACCTCACTCGGGGATAACCGTCAGTCAGACAGTTCTCAGCCTCAAATAGTGACTCCATGGCTGTTTCTTACACAAACGCAAAAGAAAGCGTCCCTATTTGTAATAACTTGTGGGATGATTTGTACACAGTACTTTTACAGGACTTTCTGTTGAGACGAAAACGATATATTAATTATGAAAATGAGGCACCCCAGCTTTAATGGGTTGTGTCAGATATGTTTTATGATGTATTGAGAATGCAAGCCACTGGCAGATTTATTATGTCCACTGCAATCAACTGAGCTGAAATGATAGACGCTTTTATCCAGAACTTGCGCACTAATCTAGCGAGACAATATGAATAGCTGCGTTTATAATCTTTTAATCACTGAAATACATGGATGGGCCCCGGGGCACTCAAACCATTCATTATCATACATTTGCGTAACCATATCTGCGCGACTAATTGTTATTGCTGGAGTGGACTCTACGCAATTTTACCTCTAGGGGCACTGGATCAGGCCATTTGATTTTTACACTCCCCAGGGCACCACGCTTGGCATCAGTCGGGACTCCTGCCTACGCACACCACTGATGCGCTCTCAACATGAAGGAGGAGAGAGAGAAATAGAGAGAGAAACCGCTTGTGCTGAACAAACATTGTGATGATGCTTGAAATGCCTCCAGATTATACCGCGGTGAAGTTGGTTTCACGTTGGACGTTGGATAATCGCCTCCAGCACTAAGATCGTTCGAATTTAGGGACCGTCTATGAATTACTGTCTTTGTAAAAAATGTAGTTTAGGTGTAAATCAATAATATGATACAAATAAACAATTTTAATGAAAAGAGATAGATTAAATGTAATCTTTAGGTGTATTTTCTACCACATTTAATATTATAGTATTTTATACCTACTGTTGAATGTAGCCTATATATTTTCAATAAGCCTATATTCGGAATCATGTGAACCAGCAAAGTAAATAATATTTACCACACGTTTTTATTCCTATTTTCATGTTTTGAAACTTTAGAAAAATCATAATCCTGGAAAATCACCAAAAAATACAATATTTTTTTCAATAGGTTTATGGTTATGTGACCCAGTCACCCCAAACCACTTTACAAAATTAGTACTACCTCTAGGCTATGGGGCTCAGGCCATGAAATTATGCTTAATAGATTTGGTGTATTTTTCAAGGATTTTTGATTGAAAGTATGGGTTTTTCCTCAATAGCTTTTAAGGCATTTGACCCAGTCACCCCAAACCACTTTACAAAATTAGTACTTCCTCTAGGCTATAGGGCTCAGGCCATGAAATTATGCTGAATAGATTTGGTGTATTTTTCAAGGATTTTTTATATAAAGTATGTTTTTTTCCTAAATAGCTTTTAGAGCATTTGACCCAGTCACCACAGAATACTTTACAGAATTAGTACTACCTCTAGGCTATGGGGCTCAGGCAATGAAATTATGCTTAATAGATTTGGTGTATTTTTCAAGGATTTTTTATATAAAGTTTGGGTTTTTCCTCAATAGCTTTTAGGGCATTTGACCCAGTCACCCCAGAATACTTTACACAATTAGTACTTCCTCTAGGCTATGGGGCTCAGGCCATGAAATTATGCTGAATAGATTTGGTGTATTTTTCACGGATTTTTTATATAAAGTTTGGGTTTTTCCTCAATAGCTTTTAGAGCATTTGACCCAGTCACCCACAAAATACTTTACAAAATTAGTACTACCTCTAGGCTATGGGGCTCAGGCCATGAAATTATGCTGAATAGATTTGGTGTATTTTTCAAGGATTTTTTATATAAAGTATATGGGTTTTTCCTCAATAGCTTTTAGAGCATTTGACCCAGTCGCCACAGAATACTTTACAAAATGAGTACTACCTCTAGGCTATGGGCTCAGGCCATGAAATTATGCTGAATAGATTTGGTGTATTTTTCACGGATTTTTTATATAAAGTTTGGGTTTTTCCTCAATAGCTTTTAGGGCATTTGACCCAGTCACCCCAAAACACTTTACAAAATTAGTACTACCTCTAGGCTATGGGGCTCAGGCAATGAAATTATGCTGAATAGATTTGGTGTATTTTTCAAGGATTTATTTATATAAAGTATGGGGTTTTCCCTCAATAGCTTTTAGAGCATTTGACCCAGTCGCCACAGAATACTTTACAAAATTAGTACTTCCTCTAGGCTATGGGGCTCAGGCAATGAAATTATGCTGAATAGATTTGGTGTATTTTTCACGGATTTTTTATATAAAGTTTGGGTTTTTCCTCAATAGCTTTTAGAGCATTTGACCCAGTCACCCAAGAATACTTTACAAAATGAGTACTACCTCTAGGCTATGGGGCTCAGTTCATGAAATTATGCTTAATAGATTTGGTATATTTTTAAAGGACTTTTGATGGAAAAGTGTTATTTTTTTAACTCAATAGCTTTGAATGCATTTCACCCAGTGGCCCCAAACCAGTTTACAAAATTATCTCTGGGAAACCATGCACATCTTTTTGTTCACCAATAGTACTATATCAGAATTTTTGAAAAATCAAACACTGTGTTTTACAGTAGATTATCAAGTCGCACAAGTTAGTTTATACTAATATTAATAACCATATTCTGCTGCCACACACAAAACTCTTTTTCTGATTTTGGAATAGTACACTTTTGGAAACTCAAAATGTCAGAACACAGACTCTAAAGCAGAACACAGGATCAAGTTTAAATATGTATTTGAATCACATAATCAGTGGGGGAATGTAGTGAGCAGAGAAGGCTGGACCAAGGATCACAGACTGACAATACTGGACTGAGGAATACAGGTGAGTTTACAGAGTAGCAGACTCACCTGTGGACGACACTGGATAGGGTACCACAGGTGAGTAGCAGACAAGACTGAACAAAGGACACAAGGTTTTTATTGAACCATTTTGAAACGTTAGAATTTATGAAAAACACCAATGTGACCCGAATCTAATTCACAATTGTCTAATCGTTCACAACTTAGTTTCTATCTTTTAAAACAAATACACACAATAAATTGAACACAACAAATGTTTTTTATAACACTTATAAGCATCACAAAACAAAACTTTGAATCATGTATATAAATTAAATAAGCATATGTGTGTAGTTTCTTCTAAAAGCTGATATAACCCTGGGTTGTGATAAAATCAAAATTGTGACTAAGGCAAAAGAAAATCCTGATAATTTATTTATTCAAATAATTTGTTAAACACTTCATTTGCACACAAGGCACTTCCATTCAACTTCGCCAGCTGCCTTTTTTACGTCCTTGGTTGAGAGTCCAATACAGTCCGCATGATACCAGCGGTCACATGTGTCACACTGAATCTGTCATAATGCAAAGCAAGAAAAGTTAATCACAGCTGAATAATTTGTTTTTAATATGTGCAAGAGTCGTTATGGTTTGCTTTTAGTTGGTGGTTTACAAAAGCAAAGCCTAATTCTGGCAAACTATAAGGACATCGCTGAATGTGATGCTACATTGAGCCCCATAGCCTAGAGGTAGTACTAATTTTGTAAAGTGTTCTGGGGTGACTGGGTCAAATGCCTTAAAAGCTATTGAGGAAAAACCCATACTTTCAATCAAAAATCCTTGAAAAATACACCAAATCTATTAAGCATAATTTCATTGCCTGAGCCCCATAGCCTAGAGGTAGTACTAATTTTGTAAAGTGTTTTGGGGTGACTGGGTCAAATGCCCTAAAAGGTATTGAGGAAAAACCCATACTTTATATAAAAAAATCCTTGAAAAATACACCAAATCTACTAAGCATAATTTCATGGCCTGAGCCCCATAGCCTAGAGGAAGTACTAATTTTGTAAAGTATTCTGTGGTGACTGGGTCAAATGCTCTAAAAGCTATTGAGGAAAAACCCATACTTTCCATTAAAAATCCTTGAAAAATACACCAAATCTATTCAGCATAATTTCATGGCCTGAGCCCCATAGCCTAGAGGTAGTACTAATTTTGTAAAGTGTTCTGGGGTGACTGGGTCAAATGCCCTAAAAGGTATTGAGGAAAAACCCATACTTTATATAAAAAAAAATCCTTGAAAAATACACCAAATCTATTAAGCATAATTTCATGGCCTGAGCCCCATAGCCTAGAGGTAGTACTAATTTTGTAAAGTGTTCTGGGGTGACTGGGTCAAATGCCCTAAAAGCTATTGAGGAAAAACCCATACTTTCAATCAAAAATCCTTGAAAAATACACCAAATCTATTAAGCATAATTTCATTGCCTGAGCCCCATAGCCTAGAGGTAGTACTAATTTTGTAAAGTGTTTTGGGGTGACTGGGTCAAATGCCCTAAAAGGTATTGAGGAAAAACCCATACTTTATATAAAAAAATCCTTGAAAAATACACCAAATCTACTAAGCATAATTTCATGGCCTGAGCCCCATAGCCTAGAGGAAGTACTAATTTTGTAAAGTATTCTGTGGTGACTGGGTCAAATGCTCTAAAAGCTATTGAGGAAAAACCCATACTTTCCATTAAAAATCCTTGAAAAATACACCAAATCTATTCAGCATAATTTCATGGCCTGAGCCCCATAGCCTAGAGGTAGTACTAATTTTGTAAAGTATTTTGGGGTGACTGGGTCAAATGCCCTAAAAGCTATTGAGGAAAAACCCATACTTTATATAAAAAAATCCTTGAAAAATACACCAAATCTATTAAGCATAATTTCATGGCCTGAGCCCCATAGCCTAGAGGAAGTACTAATTTTGTAAAGTATTCTGGGGTGACTGGGTCAAATGCCCTAAAAGGTATTGAGGAAAAACCCATACTTTATATAAAAAATCCTTGAAAAATACACCAAATCTATTCAGCATAATTTCATGGCCTGAGCCCCATAGCCTAGAGGTAGTACTAATTTTGTAAAGTATTTTGGGGTGACTGGGTCAAATGCTCTAAAAGCTATTGAGGAAAAACCCATACTTTATATAAAAAAATCCTTGAAAAATACACCAAATCTACTAAGCATAATTTCATGGCCTGAGCCCCATAGCCTAGAGGAAGCACTAATTTTGTAAAGTATTCTGTGGTGACTGGGTCAAATGCTCTAAAAGCTATTGAGGAAAAACCCATACTTTAATAAAAAATCCGTGAAAAATACACCAAATCTATTCCGCATAATTTCATGGCCTGAGCCCCATAGCCTAGAGGAAGTACTAATTGTGTAAAGTGTTTTGGGGTGACTGGGTCAAATGCCCTAAAAGCTATTGAGGAAAAACCCATACTTTATATAAAAAATCCGTGAAAAATACACCAAATCTATTCCGCATAATTTCATGGCCTGAGCCCCATAGCCTAGAGGAGTACTAATTTTGTAAAGTGTTTTGGGGTGACTGGGTCAAATGCTCTAAAAGCTATTGAGGAAAAACCCATACTTTCTATAAAAAATCCTTGAAAAATACACCAAATCTATTAAGCATAATTTCATTGCCTGAGCCCCATAGCCTAGAGGAAGTACTAATTGTGTAAAGTATTCTGGGGTGACTGGGTCAAATGCTCTAAAAGGTATTGAGGAAAAACCCATACTTTATATAAAAAAATCCTTGAAAAATACATCAAATCTATTAAGCATAATTTCATGGCCTGAGCCCCATAGCCTAGAGGTAGTACTAATTTTGTAAAGTGTTTTGGGGTGACTGGGTCAAATGCCCTAAAAGCTATTGAGGAAAAAAACATACTTTATATAAAAAAATCCTTGAAAAATACACCAAATCTATTAAGCATAATTTCATTGCCTGAGCCCCATAGCCTAGAGGAAGTACTAATTTTGTAAAGTATTCTAGGGTGACTGGGTCAAATGCTCTAAAAGCTATTGAGGAAAAACCCATACTTTTCCATCAAAAGTCTTTGAAAAAACCATGAAATACAATAAAATATTAAATGTGGTAGACTAAATGTAATCTTTAGGTGTATTTTCTATCTCTTTTCATTAAAATTGTTTATTTGTATCATATTATTGATTTACACCTAAACTACATTTTTTACACAGACAGTAATTCATAGACGGTCCCTAAATTCGAACGATCTTAGTGCTGGAGGCGAATATCCAACGTCCAACGTGAAACCAACTTCACCACGGTCCAGATTATACCATTATATATCCATTACGCACTGCGACGCGCCGGGTCTAGTTTACGCGCAATCGCATTGGGATCCACCGATTACGCACTTTACTTTGCGCACACAGCACTACCTCTACCTTCTTTCTCTTGTATTCTCAGTCTGCCACAAATCAGATTACGAACGCGGTTAAAGTGGCTTGTGACGTAACGTGCTTAAAGGGGAGGAGGTGGATGAGAAGACAGCAACAAAACCCCTCCGCCCCCTTCTACACACACTCTCTCCCCGTGCCCAGACATGTCTCCCATCGCACCCAGCAGCCTCTGATCTCCACGGGACCGACGCACAGCAGCAGATACCAGCATGACTTCGTTTCTTCAGGTAACGCTGGCACTGTGTTTGTCTGCGCTGCGCTTTTTGGTCACTTGAGTACGTATTTCTCATCACTGTCAAATGGTGCGTCCCCAATCCCCACAGTGGAGGTAAAACAGGTGGTTGAGACTGGGGGGAGAGGGAGAGGGGTGACCGCGGGAGTTGGAGCCTCTAGTGAGCTTTATCTGTCAGTGCCAACCGTTTTGCGCATCGGAAATACTCTTGTTGTGCTTGCTTTTAGATTGCTGACGACGAGAAGGGGCACGAGTTGGATCTCTTCTGTGTGCCAAGGCATTATGAGAACGATTTGGATAGAGTTATCATCCCACATGGACTCATCATGGACAGGTGAAGTTATATCTATATACACTCTGCAGTAGATACAGTACAATACATCGCCCTACTACCACAGACTGCATTCTCTATGTTGTTATTGATGTGTGTTGATGAGTGGGTGAGAGAGGGTTGAGATCATATAAGCCTCTGCTTCATCCAACCCCTTTTCAAACCTGTATTAGTGTGAAGATATGGGACAATGTGTTCTACAGGTTTGAAATAAATCGAACTAAAACATAAATTAAACAGCCTACAGTAGACGGATCTTTTGCCTCACTCACTATTTGCAAGACAAAGTGGCACAGCCGGTTCATATTTCCCTGTCAATGCATTTCTATTGGAGTTTTAATTTGTACAATTGACTTCTATCGCCTTCTTTTAGCAGTGTTTCTATGACATTTGTTCATTTTAAGTGTATTTTTGATTTGCATGTTTGAAAGTAATCTTGGATTGTCCTGCAATTATGGCTTCATTCACTGCTGAGAAAAGTTCAGTTCTTTCTATCACCTATCCCCGCCCATTTTCCCAGTACTCATCAAAAATGAATCTGAAACTAGACATTCCCTACAACCCTAACCCTTGTAACCATCTCTAAATGTGTGAGCTGCTGTCTGTGTCCATGCCCTGCTGCCACTGATCTGAAATATGCTTTTCTCCCTCTGTTTTTATATGTTTTAATTATCTGTTTTAATTGTAAAATAATAACTAGCATGACTGGATATGTCTGTATATTGCTGGCTATTGTAAAAAGGGTATATGTTTCTGGAACTCTCTATTTTCAAGCAGTAGCCATCAATAGTGCAGCCCACAGCACATTCAAAATATCAATACATGTCTTTTAATAGTCTCCTTAACTGGACTTTCATTGATTCCTTCCTACTTGCCTCCTCCAGGACGGAGCGCCTGGCCCGGGACATCATCCGGGACATGGGAGGGCACCATATAGTAGCTCTGTGCGTTTTAAAGGGAGGATACAAGTTCTTTGCAGACCTCTTGGACTACATCAAAGCCCTGAACCAGAACAGCGATAAATCGGTACCTCTGACGGTGGATTTCATCAGAGTGAAGAGCTACTGTGTAAGTAAGCCGTCTCTCTCATTTGTACTAATGGCCACTTGGCGAAAGCAGACGAAAACACTGAGTCACCAGTTGGCGTTGGGCCATATAGTTCATGAGCACCGTTGGACAAGATTAAGATTAGGGATGGATGTACGAAGGAAGGATGCAACTAACTTATCGCTATTTTTGAGGGAGACAAGTTTATTTCCAAAATATATTTAAGTATGGCAGTTGTGCACATATGTCCCGTCCCCAGGTCTTTTAATTGCATGCATCAGACAAAATGTATATGGTAATGTCCTTGTCGATGGGTCTTATGACAGTGGTGATGATCCAGGACACTTTACAGCACGTATGGACGTTGGTCATCTGCGCCTCATGGACCCATTGCTCTTTTTTCCTGATTTCCTGACTTTAAACTGTTTGATTTGACGATAGGCGTTGGCGAATCATCAACGTTGTAAAGTCCTCCTAAGATGTTGTGATTTTAGGGCTTTACAAAAAGACATCAAATTGATTTTATTTGTATTGGAAAAACGGGTCAGAACAGCAGGGCTACCATCTTATCTATAAGTATGTGCAATCATTTCAGTGGTTATTGTGTTACCATGCCGACATAATTGCAATAGTTAGAGCTATTCAAATCCCAAACCTTTCTGCTTTTGTGCCCCTTAGAATGACAAATCCACCAACAATGTCAAAGTTATAGGCGGGGATGAGCTGTCCAGTCTGGCTGGAAAGGTGCGTATAAAAGGTCAGAAAGAAAATGGTACTTCTGGTTGTGACTCATTTCCTTCTCTTGTTATTTCAGAATGTTTTAATCGTGGAGGTGAGTTGGAGGTTTTTTCATAGTAGCATTACAGCCTTTCACTGCAGCATTTGCAGTAATCCAACGTTAGAACTCCCAGAGCAGTCAATTTGACGGCTTTTCGTTTCCGGCTTTTATACATTTTTGGTCTTCATAATTGTGTGACTTTTTCTGTATCGTAGTTTATTTCAATGCCATAATATTTATATAGTTTTTTTGTATTTGTCTAATGTAAGGTGTTCATTTACCTATATTTGTCCAAATTCAGCCATTTTTTGTCGCTTGGCAACCAATATTCGATGGCATTTAAAGCCCCTTTTCTCAAGGTGCTGGTCCTGGACTGGTTGTGGTTCAGAGAAATCTCAGTCTGGGTGCTAGTGCTAGTTACCATAGCAACACATATTTACATGTTTAATTTACAGCAGTAAGCTTTTAGTAGTCACACTATAAAACTTTGTTATGAATCAAGTTATATTCACCAGTGTTGGCATGCATTAAACATAAAAACCATGGCTTACTTTGGCTTAATGGCTTAATTTTAATAAAAGAATTAAATGAAAAAAAGAAACTTTTGAGAATTTTTTCTGAACTCCATTGATTTGAATGGGAGCCGTCACAATGACTGCTCTGGTAGTTCAAGTTTCAGAATTCTGGGAGTCCTCGTGTTAAAGCTTCTCTCTGCTTCACACAGGACATCGTGGAGACCGGGAGGACCATGCAGACGCTACTTTCACTGCTAAACGAATGCAATCCCAAAATGGTGAAGGTTGCGAGGTAGGCTGGCGCTCCTCTGATCGCGGACCTCACTGAATCCCAGCGCAGGTTGTGGGTGTGTGGGTGTGTGGCCGTGCGGGTGTGGGTGTGTGGGTGCATCCTGGATCTGCGCTAATGGCCCCGTTCCTTTTCCCCTGGTATTAAAGTCGTAATGATACAGAGGGGAGGCTTAAGAGTTATTCTGAGTGCACAGGGACAGGCTTTTTCGTGCCGTCTTCCTGGTGTCTGCAGTGAACCGGAAAAGCAGGCCGCAGCTTTGGGCTTTTCTTGTGATGTCTGAGTGAACGGAACTGCAGCCATCACCGGATCTTAAAGAGTTGTTTTTGGGGAACGTCAGTATGGCTTGCGAAAGGGTGTTTTTTTTGGGTTTTTTTCATGGTGGGTTAAAGCTGAGGTACCTTACTTTTTTGTTTCATCAATAACATATGTTGTCTGTCCCCACAGATAGTATCTTATGTGAAGGCCAATTCTTACACCATGCCATGTTGTCTTCATATTAGTCAAAAAACACATTCTATTTTAGCATACTTGTTACTACTTTTTAGCCCTGTGAGTCACTATTTGATGCCTACGGGCTGAAAGCTGGTTAGCTGAGTGCAGATGGTTCTTCCTTTTTTCTAATCTAATCGGATCTAAAGACATGACAGAGACCATTAATACACACCAAACTGTTATGAGGAACTGGCTACATACATTTATTTTATAGGTTGCGTGTGTGTGTGACATCACAACACACAAGAGCCTATCGTTTAAAATTGAAGAGATAACTGTCAAAAGTCAGATTACATGAAGTCACACAGTTCCACCTCAGTACAAATAAACTATGGTCACATTATTGTCTCATGAAGTGGTTACAATATTAAAAAAACGTACTGTATACAAAAAAGAATAAGGGCTTTCAGACGTAAAACTAATATGGCGGTTTTCTAATTTCAAATCATTCTTTAACATTTCTGGCTAAAATACTGAAGTAGATCTCCAGACCATGATATTTGACATTGTTCATTCTGTTGTGGTTTGAACGTTTGGTACCCCAGCTTTAAGTCTTCAGCCCATGCTGCCCTATTACTACATCCATTGGTGTCTAACTAAAATGTTTTTTTTGGGTGCTTTTTAGTCTCCTGGTGAAGAGGACCCCAAGGAGCTCAGGGTACAGGCCAGACTGTGAGTACAACCACTTATTATTATCACTTGTATATTTTGTTATACATTTGAATTGTGCAACAAAGCCACAAATATATGTAAAATAGCTGGGCAATGGTATATCAAAAAATGCCTATCACAATATGAAAAAAGGTAAAAAAATAAGTAAGTGAAATCTATTATATTGTCAAAAGTCAAACAGCAACTATAGTATGCAGGACATTCATTTAAAAATAAAACATGAAATCCTATTCTATTTTGTGCAGGTGGAACCAACACATTTAGGAATACTATTTTAAATAGTGTCTACATTTTTTTCTGAATTTCTCAATACTCGCGTAATTTTATAATCTTGTATATTGTCTGTGTTAGCTATGGATAACGCCTGAATTTCCCGGTGATTTATCTATGGGGAAAAAATGTATGAGCATCTCTCCAGATTTCAAATGTATAGTGATTTTTTTTTTGTTCATATCTTTGACATTGTGTTACTTTAAAACCTCAACATTTGTGTATTTTTATTTTTATTTTTTTTAAGACTAGTACCCTAGACTAATACCAAACCATATCTGTTGTATTTCCACAAACTGGACCAATATTTGTCCTCAATGAGAGCTTCCTCTTTAATCTACGACATAATCAAATCTGCATTCAGAATGGTCTAACGTGGTTTTCTAGGTCCACAAAAAAATGACACGATTACACAACATGGAGTCTCAAATAGCTCTGACATAGGCTGTTCTTGAAAATGATCTGTAATCTGCTCCTACACCCCTAGAGGTCACCAAATATACATTCCACACAGATGTCAATATATTTATATCTTCTCTATCCAGGCTTAGACAGAAGTGCACTACTCTAGATGTTAATCGTGGCACTTGCACATCCTCACTTCATATCCGCTGCTCACACTGCTGCCGTTATGTAATGCTTTTAGACAGGAGTTAGATAAGCTGGTTAAGATGGCCCCTCAAGACCAGCTGTTATAACGAAGCAGGCATTGTTGTTGGCCCTTATGTAGTATTGGCAAACCAGTGGGGCTGCAGAACATACTAAATGGTATAAAAAGGTTGATATAAGGACTTCTTTCTAACTTTTTTTTTTTTTATTTGCTTTCAGATATTGGCTTTGAGGTGCCTGATGCCTTTCTAGTGGGATATGCACTGGACTACAATGAGTACTTCAGGGATCTCAGTGTAAGTTACCTCACATGAAATTGTTTTTTGTATTTTTTTTCAAAAGATGCGTTTGATTGAATGATTTTGTTTTTTTACAGCACATCTGCATACTAAACGAACAGGCGCGGGAGAAGTACAGAGTGTGATGCAGATTGAAACGACGGAACTTTAAATCACTGTGACAGATCATACGTTTGCTGTGTTTTCAACTGTATTTATTTTTTTATGTGACGTGTAAATATGAAGAACGTTATGTACATCTATATTTAACTACTGGAATTAACTAATGTTCAGAATGTATGCAGAGTTCAGCACGTATTTATATTTCATTGCTATGTTTTATTTATGAACCTTTTTAGACTATAGTGTCTTAGTGGAATTATGATTTAAAGAATATAGTGTACTAGTCAGGGTATCGTTTTTTTCACTTGGCATCATGCCAAAAAATGACTCTGAATTTACTGTATTATTTAGTTTCGTTTTTGAAGAGGACCAGTTAAAAAGCGATAACAATTTGTGTTCAAACCAATTGTGTTGTTGTTATTCACTGTCTGGCCAGAGGAGGGCTAGCGTTTGCTAAATTTATATTTCGCAATATAATGTAAAATAATCGCGTGCAGTTTCATTATATATAAGTGTAATAATGAATAATAAGACAAAGAAAATAATAATCAAGGAAGTACGTGACGTGTCGTGGTGACGTAATGGTGACGTAATGGTAACCCTACGTATTCCAGTGAAGGCGGATGTTGACATACATTCTAGGTAAGGGCACAACAGTCTATGGACACAACATACAGATCTTATTCTTCACGACGTTCACTCTGCGAACTTTAAACCCCCTGAAGGATTGGGATTTTCAAGTTTGTTTTATCATTTAACAAACAAAAAAATCGAACTTCTGACAATGTCAAAGATAAAGAAACCAGTCGAAGTCATTGGACGTTTTCAATATTTTTTTTACGAGCAAAACATTTGCGAGTTCAAGGCTGTAAAACATTGTGCATACTAGTCCCACTGTACATACAGCTACACTCCAGCTATGAGCGTCAAGGCGCAGTCCATCGCCTCTCTCAGGAGGTCTGACGTTGGGGACCGGTTTGCGGCTCTCCAAGTGCCTAAAGCTGCGGTGCTCATCCCACTGATGGTGAGGGGAGAGGAGCTACACACACTCCTGACTCTGCGCTCCATGGAGGTAAGCAGATGCCAGTAGACTTGCATTATAGTTTCTAAATTAATATTAAACTAGTCCATTGTGTCTGCAGCTGAGGACCAATGCAGGAGACGTCTGCTTTCCTGGCGGAAAAAGAGACCCCTTGGACAGAGATGATGAGGAGACTGCCCTGAGGGAGGCCCAGGAGGAGATTGGCCTGCAGCCGGACCAGGTGGAGGTGATCTGTAAGCTCGCTCCGATCATTAATAAGGTAGGGGTGCAGTATTGCATGTCTGCCACAAATCTGCTGATATGAGCAAAAGTCATGTCACAAACAGTTTTGCTAGAGCAGAGACTGTATATTAGGAGTGGACTGACAGAGGACTCCTGTCAGGAGTGGACTGACAGAGGACTGACCTCAATTTCCTATAGCTTAAGAAGCCAGTTTGAACATAAACTAGCTGGAGCAAATATCCTTATGGGAATTTGTTCCGACGAGATTCGCTTCATGTCGTAGCGGGGGCAGACGTGTTGCTAAGGCAAGCTGAATTTTCCCCTGCAAATGAAGACATCTGATTGGTCAATCCTCATATGGCTCATATATTGATTTATGAAGACAATACCAAAGGATGTACGCCAGAATCACAGATACCTCATATGTTTTAGGCCCAAAAATTGTGTGACACAAACTGTTACTGAGAACATACAACTCAAACTTTTAGTTTGTGTTGTATTGGCACCTGGCCTCCGACTGGAAGGGAATTCTGCAACAACTCAACCTATAGCTATACTAGTATTAATAAACATTATCTGCATCGTCTGAGTTTTAGCTGAATAAATGTAACCATGTGTGATTTTGTTTTGCAGAGTGGGCTGATGGTGACCCCAGTGGTGGGTTTCATAGATGAAGACTTCAGTCCGAGTCCAAACCCTGCTGAGGTCAGTGCCGTGTTCACAGTCCCCCTGGACCTATTCATTCAGGAGAAGAATCACTTTCAAGTCAAAGGGACAAACGGGCTGGTGGGACCACTGCACTTGTTCAGTTATACAGACTCCTCTTCCAACGCTCAGTACCAGATATATGGTCTTACTGCAGCCTTGGCGATACAGGTTTCTGTCTGTGCGCTTCAGAAAAACACTGAGTTTGAAGTCGGATTTGATTTCAAGAACTCTGTGGACTTTTATGAGCAAAACCTTCGAAAGAGACTCAGTAAACTATAGCACTGTATGCTTGCCAATGTGTAATATTTATTTAATTGTTTATAATTATCTTGCAATTTGCACTGAGAAAATAAAAAACTTAAATCTGGAATGCTCTGTTCAAGAAGAGAACTAACAAATACACTGTAACTAGAAATGTAGTCATTATGAGGAAACGGTCTTTAACTTGTTATCCAATGTAATATATCACACCTTGTAAACTTTTAGTAGATTACCACTTTTGTGCATCTTTTCTTGTCTCATAAAAAGGTTTTACGGCATGTTATTCAGCAGGTCCTTCTTTCCTGCTGTTGTCAGACTGTACAACGAGAACTGCTGAGTCTGTACACGTGCAATTCACCTGTACTAGTTGCTGGTTACTTTACCTGCTAAATGATTACTAGATTATTACATATTCAATTCATCTGATAATTCACGAGCCACTTCATTACTATTGTTTATTCTGGTTGTATTCTCTGCTCAGCTAAAGTACAATATAAACGTCTGTAAATACCTCATGATGCTGATAACTACAATACATACTCTACAAGTGACTTATCCATGAACCATGCACCGGAGTTTTATTATTATCTATTTTCTTAAATAATCAACCCTGTTTGATGTGTGCCATCTGAGTGCTCTCATTTCCTCCTTTTATTCTGCTGTAATGTGTGCACTGATGATACCGAAATGTATGTATCAAAGGGCTTGAAGTTTATAAATATATTCTCCATTCTATAAAGCATGAAATCATATTTGAATATGTGCAAAATGTCACTTGTTTTACCATTATATATAGAAAAGTATATCAACATGAGAGTGGAAATTTGAAAACATGTGTTATAAAAGAACAGACGATAAATGTCTTGATAAAAAGACCTACAGTTGAAGTTGCTGCTGATTGGCTAATCATTTTAAGAACCAAGAACAACACACGTAAACATAAACAATGTGCACATTCATTCCGATGTTTATGGCTAATGTCATGAGTAAAAGTTGAGTTGCATAGGCCTTGCTCGAAAACAACAATGCATTATCTTTTGAGTGGGGTCGGAATGGGGTTATTATGGGCAGCAGAGTATTTGGCGTGGTGGTGGTGGTATGTGTGGTGCGCATGCGCAGAGCGGCTGGTGGGTTGTGTTGGGACGTGGGCGGAGCTGTGGGACAAGTGTGTGTTTGTGTCTCCCTCTCTACCTCCGTCTGCCCTTCTCCTCAGCCTGAGCCCCGTGGATGGCGTTTAGACTCGGGACTAACCTGTCTGCTGGCTTTACAGAGGTTCAATGTTGACGTTTGCATTTGCAGTAAACATTCCGCTGGTAGATTGCAAAGAAACAGTGGACGGAGTTGAGTTGGTGTATTCTCCTAAAGAGTGTCCGCTTCCGCTCCCCTCGATGAAGCGCTGCGATGCCCTCTGATTTTATATCTCTCCTTAGCTCGGATATCGACCTCAATTCTCCCAAATCCCTGTACTCTAAAGGTAAGAGTGTGCTCTCCGCTACACCGCCTCTGGCCTTTGTCAGGAGGATGGATTATCAGTGCGTGGTAACCACCTCTCTCACACCCCTTGCTAGCTTTAGTTAGCTGTGCTGTTAGCCATGTTAGCTAGCTTAGTAGGCTGGCCACATTTGGGGCTGGCGACCACCTGGTTGGCTGGTTAGATGTAAACGTTAGAGTGTGCCCAGCTCGCTCTTGCAGACAGTCCATGCACTGATGTGATGCACAGTCTTGTGACTGAACCATCCTCCTCCTGGGGGTGACTTTGTTTATGGCGATAGAGTGATTAGGACTGTGTTATGCACAGGCTGCTTTGTAAGCTGATTTCAGTCTACACAGAAGTACGAGTCAAACTAGTTAAGCCAGTTGTAATTAAAACATCTATTCATTAATTAATTGAACAATCAGACACATTCTCCAAAACAAACATCATGTGTGTAAAGAATAGGTTTCTCCAGTTAGAGAAGGCAAGAAGGGTATCAAAATCACAAGGAACATTTATAATTAATGTTTTGTTTGTAAAAGACACACCATGAGGGTGTGCTAGAGTCTGGTTCAAATTGAGAAACAGTCGTATATTTATTTAGAATTAATTCTGCTCAAGAGTAAATGGTTTTTAACAATCTTTCTTTGAATGCTTTACATGGATCTTTTAGCAAAGGGGTGTCCAAATATAACGCTGCCAATTATACGTCCGCTAATACGTGTGGTATTATTAGATATAGTGTTGAATTCCCCTTGGGAGCACATGCAAAACACTTGATCCAAGAATTTACTACTTTTGGCCTTGATGTTCCTGCTTGTGGTGCTTCACCAGTGTTACAGGCAGACCCAGAGTGGCGGGTGAAGTCAGATGCTTCACATTATCAGCACTCACTTGGGATTCGGCACCAGAGGCTACTGCACTCGTGGTGTTTTGTAGACTCCTGCTCTTGAAGTGGGGGTAACCTGAGACTTGCTTATGCTTTTGGAGAGCTGCTACTGTAAAGCGCTTCCTCTTTAACTCACTGGAGGTTGGCAGCGCGCTGAGTGGTTGACAAACATAGGCTTTTTGAACTTCCTGCCATTTGACCTGGAGCACCCCAGCTGTCCTGCATGTTCAGGGGGCTTTTACGCCAGATGAGATTTTGGTATGTTGAGTTTAGCTTGCCATATGCTCACACTATATCACATGAAGGTTTATTTTTACCTCAGTAATTGGGTGTGCATTGTGGAGGGTCATGGCAACAGACCAGTCAAAGAGCCTGCATGAGACCCTTTGTACATCATAATGGAAGTGTTGAAAGGGATAGTTGCATTTGGACTGGCTTGACAGACGATGTGTGTGAGGGCATACCAATAACAGTGTGGTAAGATTACAATTAAAAGCTGAATATTCTTGTTTTGATTTTAATGAGCAGCATGTCCATATACAATAAAACATACAGAAGAAAAATATGCTTTTAGTTCTGAGTAGTAGTTTGTAAATAGTGTCTTGTCCCCTATTGACTCTTTGCACTGGCGTGTACCATGACGGACAGATGCCAGTGAAACTGCTATCGTAGGGATAATACTAATCATTACTTCTAGGATACAGACACAGGCACATCACACTTTAGATGAATAATTGACGCAGCAGCTAACAACTCCCCAATTTATTCCAAATCTTAAGGCATTACAACTGTGCATTGTAATACTTTATCACAGGTTTTGTTTGTTTCTTGCTGCAAAATATTTAAGCCATGCCAATTTATTTGGCTTCAAGGAGTAAAATCCAGCGGTTTTTATCTTCGATTTAGGAGCAGTGACTAGCTCTTTTGTCTGACTCGGCCTGGTGTTAACATACTGTGGTGTGTGTTCGGATTGTTTATTAAAGCAGCCATTGTACTGCTGTCATCAAATCAGTTTGTACATATTTTACTGTAACAAAACATTTGTCCTTGTGTGCCATGCCCCAGCTAAAGCCCTAGATGAAAATAATTAAAAATAAATCAAGGGCCTATCCATTTGGGGAAAAAGGAAGAGCCATGTATGCATAACCATGAGATGATTATATTGTTTAAAGCAGCAGTGAGCCACCTCTTTACAACCAAGATCTGCTGTTCCTCTGGTGAGCCAAGACTGGGCTCTAAAGCCTAGCGTACATCGACAGAGAAACTGGGGACAACTAGTTGCAAGGCGGCTTTTGGCAACTGAGAGGAGATGGTGGGAGATGATCAGTTGCCGAAATCGGTCGATGTGCGCGCTCTTACAACTGGAGATGATCAGTCGGTCTCCAGTTCCAGTCAGTTGCCCGTGTTCTACTTTTCGGCAACTAGTTGTCCTCAGTTGCCCCGATGTGCGCGCTCCATGCGCCGCTCCAACAACGTGTGTGTATTGCGTGTATTGCGAGCCCGCAACAGTTTGTTGTCAGAAAACACACTGTGGTTGAGGCCAGTTGCTGTTGATGTATGCGCTGTTATTCAAGAGACTGGCCTGCGACTCAGAGTTGCCCGTTTTTGCCAGATTGTCGATGTGTGCGGGGCAGCAACTCAGAGGCGACGGATATAATCCGTTGCCAGTCCGATGTACGCTAGGCCTAACCGCGCTGTAACCATTTGGTTGCTTGACCATCCAGGCCCATCTACATTCTGACACACATTTGATTCCCAGTCCTCAGCCAATAAAAAGCTGGACCAATCACTGGTTGTGGAATTTTCTTCTGAATTGTTTGTTATTGAATATACTTTGATCTTTTTTCTAATGCAGCAATTTAAAATTAATGTAAAATGAATTGTTCAAGTTATACAAAAATGTATTTATGGGCGGCCCGATGGCCGAATGGATAGCACTCTCGGATCAATATCTGGAGATGGGTTCCTGGGCGCTGTATCACGGCAACCACGGCTCCTAACAGACGCCCTATGTGTCATCAAGATGGGTCAAATGCAGAGGACAAAGTTCCCTACAGGGATAAATGAAGTGCACATGCATTTATATTTGTCCTTGAATATCAGTTTATATACTCATTTAATCATACAAGGCTCAGGACTTTTATAACATAATAATATTATAATAAGATTAAATGTTATTTACCCCTCTGAACCCGTACTAACTAATAGGAGGATGCAGAGTGCTGGTTTATCTGATAAAGCCAAGTTGTCCTTCAGACCTGGGTAAGTCCTAGTTTAGTCCTCATCCACCTTTTGCTCGTTTCTCTTGACTTACTGCCATCCACTAGTAGTCCTGCTGGCACAAGTAGAGAGATGTGAGTGATTTCATACACATGGGGATGAAACAACGAATCAAATTAATGTAACTCTTCTCACGTTTGACAATTTCTTTATTCTGTGATTTTTATAATGACTAAAACATGAGAAACATGGTGCAGCATTGCACTGAAGGCAATATACTAATTTTCAAAATTAAAATGTAATTTCACACAGAACCTCCTCATTAGTTTTGGTTGTGAATCATATTTTTTCAATCATAGCTAATGCTTTTAAGGATGTAAGAAAAATGTTCAGTTCTACATCTATCAATAGCTCTGGCGTACACGACACTTAAACCTACCCCTCTGGACACGTTTGCACCTTTTACAGAGCGACATGTGCGAACGTGCTCAGTCCAACATGAAGAGAAAAGGGGCTCGCAGGTAACTGACCGCTTTAACAAACCGCTGAATAATTACATGGCTGCATTGGGAGCCACGTGATTAACAGAAACTGACCCAAGATCTTCCCAATAGCTTACAGTCTCCTTGGTTTCTTTAATAAGTTGTGAGTCTCTTTGTGTAATGGAAATATTTGGGAAGATGTGACATAATAAATTTGCCATTTCTACCGATGTGACTATTTAGTAGCATTGCTTTCTTCTAGTTTTGTACAGTACTATAGTTTATACAGAGATAATCAAATGTGTAATTTACATACACAAATACTGTAAAGGCAAAATACTCTTGAGGCTCTTCACAAAGCCAAGTCCAGGGTCTTATTTCTAAAAGAGTTGATATAAATGGTGACAATGGTGACAGCGCATCAGTCAATGCACATCACATAAACATTCATAGGTTGGCACGCGAAAGATAAAAGAGAAAGATAGAAACAAGATGCTGATGCAGAACAACAGGATGTGAACAAGGATGCCCAACGCACATGTCACAATCCAGTGTGTTTCAGCTGGTACCACAATCATCATGTTTGGATCACAGGACTCACGCCTTCTCCTCTGCTGCTTGAATGTTGTTGCAGCACTACTACTGTAGCAGCTTTGTCTCCTCTTTCTTTTTTCCAAAATTGGCCTGCTTTACATATTCTTTCAGTCTCTGGAGTAAAAAACCTTTTACATACTCACACCTATAATCATTTAGCACAAAGACTATCGATATTGGCTGTCTTGCTATTGAGCTATTTATTTATTATTATACTTATTATTATATTATTTCTAATTGCTAAGAAAATAAAAAATAATAGTGGTTGGTGTATCTGCCACATACAAATCCATTGAGAAAAGGATAGCAAAGGAATGCAATTATTTATGACAATAAATGTCAGCGGGAGCCCCCGCTGAAAGATCTCAGCTCCTGTGGACTCAACACCTGCAGGAGGATCAGTGAGGGGCTGGTGCTCTGTGTACTGGTGCAGCTCTGACTGCCACCCCCCGACCCAGAAATGGATTAAGGGGAAGAAAATGGATGGATGGATGGAAGTTTATTTATGTTTTGGTCATTTCATTTCGGCAGTGAAAAATATAATGATAACAAATCAAACAGAATCTTCCAATCAAATTGTAAACACAATAGCTATATGAAAAATGGTTCCTTTAAAATGGTGCAGCCCCAGAGTGCAACGGCATGAGTGTGTGATGACGAACAAATACGACTAAATGCTGAGGTCATTTTGGGTTTGCAGCACAGAGACAGTGTCCTCATGCGATGAACAAAAGCTGTATAGTCTTTACCACACAGAATGATGTATGTTGTGCCAGATGTGCTAAAATGTGGATTATGGATAGATGGAGGTCCTCTCGGGATTGCTCATTTGAGGCCAGGCCTTACGGGTGCACAGACCTGGAGGTTGAAACGGCTGTGAGGTAATAGCAGTGCAGTAGTGAGCTGCTAAGATGTTTCTACACTCCTAACCTGAAGCTTAAAAATCCAGGGTCCCTGTTCCCATGTAATCTAGTCTTTGTATTTGATTAGTATTGCTGTAATGCCTTTTCAGAAATAAATAAAAATCTTTTTTTTTTCTTTTTCTCTGCTTTCCTCAAATACAACACAATGGTTTCTTTTCAAAATATGTGAACTTATATATATTTTGTCTACCTTTGTCCTCATATCATGATTTTCTTTGTATTTTACCACCTGATCTTTGTTCTCTCCGTCCTCATGCCAGAATCAGTATATGACCTCCTCCCAAAAGAACTCCAGCTCCAGCCGTCGTCCGCCCAGACAGAGCCAGCCTCCATGAGCCAGCAGAGCGGAGGAGAGGCAGGCCCTCCTCCCTTAGCAGCATTAGCTTCTGGTGAGCTTCTTATGTCCTAAGACCATAGTCTGTATGGGGTGGGAGCTAAAGCCAGGTATCCAAGACCACAGGGAAGTGTGTCTTTGGGGCATGTTGGGTCAACGACATGCTCACATGCAAAAGCTGCTCATGAGTTTTAAGTTTAGTCCAACATCTTCGGCACATTTCTTTCCAGATAACCATTTTAGTGGACATAGGAGGCCTTGGATGACAGGTCCATTATATTCTTCAGCTTACTAGTGTAGAGGTCAGAGAAATAATACAGCAACAAATACAGTGCTGTCAGTGTTGTCCAACCAAAAAAATGTAACAATGAATTCATCTTCAGCTCTGTGCTGGGATTTTGTTACTTTTCTTATTTTCTCACATGACACATGATCAACAAGGAACGTGTGCTCTAACTGCATGATAACCAGCTTGGTTTGACCTCTCCTTTTTGGGGATATAGGGCCTTTGCTAAATATCTTCTACGATGTTGACTCCTAAGGAACACTCAGCTATTGAAGCATAATATTAGTTCTTTCAGAAGTATTAGATAAAAAATATGTCCAAACATAGCATGAAGCATTAAATTAGGTTAAATGGTACTTTTATCATCATTAACACTTTGACATCCACCAGTAGTAGAAGTAAATGATATACAATAAAATGACAAGGAGAGAGACTGAATCATATGCTAGATTACATATGTATATCTATAATGTTGCAAGACTCACCACTCAACCTTGCTGCTGTAACCTGATCTTGGATCTTGTTTGGGATTTCTGATCTAAGATCAATGTGTACGTATACAGTGGTCTTTAGTGCTGTGAAGGAGAGTGCTTCTGTTAAGGCTTTTTACTACTGTCTGACCCAGCTGACTCTAAGCAGTGCTGATCCAAAGCATGACAACATGTAAATCCTCATTAACCAATTCCACATGCTTCAGACTCTATAAGGACCTCCTTCAAAATCTTTACCTTCAGTTACTGACAATAGAGTCTTGAATGATCAGCTCTCTTGTTGCTCATTGGCTGTCTCGTTTTTATTGCAGGAAGTTCCCTCTGAGGCAGGGAGTGTCTGCATATAAAATGGTCTGCAGTTCACTGCTCCATAGGTCAGAGGCTTGTTTATTCTGTCTCCATGGCTACGCTCAGTCCCAACCAAATCCTCCAATTGGCATGCGTTAACTACTTAACTACTGAATGCACATTGCATAAACTCCTATAACCTTGGCAGCTCTGGCAAATTTAATTTGGTGCCACATAATTGGCTTGCAAATTGGCTGTACAAGAAAGTTTGACGAGATTTTGTCATGTTTCTTTCTGGCAATGTGTATGTAACAAGTTTTAGTAGCTTGCTTTTGTTTTTGTAAACAAAGCATGTCACTTTTGTCACATTGATTTTTAGAAATTATTTTGTCAAAATCTGAGACATTGTGGGAACAAAGTACCCTTCTCAACTTTAACTTCATAATACTAAATCAATGCTTGAATGCCCTTGCATGCACAGTGAGGGTCTAATGTTCACTCCAGTTGAAATTAGAGTTGGGAAGAGGGGAAATGAACACAAATCATGCACAAATTTAATTCAGCTGCTTGAATGGGACTGCTAGCCTGCATTGAGTTATTGGTTGAACTCATCTGTGTATTTGTGTATACTACTACAGATGCCACCTCTTCCACCTGCAGCCCCTCCACCTCCTCCTCCCTGGCAGCACCATGCTCCGGGCCCTCCTCCGAGCTCCTCAACATCCCCAAGCACATGCACTCAGAAGGGGCCATGGAGGACTCCATGTCTGGCTCCAGTCAGCCCAACAGCTCTGGCTCCACTACTGCTGTAGACATGGGGTCAGGCACATCAGGACTGGGGGTGCAGCAGGCTCAAAACACGCCCTCCAAACGAAGACCTGCTCTCAGCATATCACCGCCTCCTGAGGACCTGTTTGATGACAGTCAGATGTCCTGCCAAGATGAGCCCACTGGATCTGGCCCTCCACCTCCAGAATCTGAGCACAGCAGCAGCATGTGGGCTGATGATTCTCTTTCCAACTTCAGTTTGCTCAGCACTGTGTCCTACAACGACAACAATGAGGTTCCAAGGAAGTCCAGAAAGCGGACGCCTCGCCAGCGGCCTGGCCCCAAAGCCACGGCCCCTGAGGACAGCATGGATGTGTTTGATGCAGACAGCGCCAAAGCCCCTCACTTTGTCCTGTCTCAGCTGGGCTCAGACAAGAACAGGTGCTTTTCATATCATATAAGTAAATCTTCAAGTTTGGAAGTGTAACTATTGTCTTGTTGTTCAGTGGTCTGGAGCCGGGAAGTGCAGTGAAGAGTGGGCTGCTGTGTGGTCAGTTCCCATCGAGAAGTGACGGCAAAGAGCTGAAGATCCTGGTGCAGCCTGAAACCCAGCACAGGGCTCGGTATTTGACCGAGGGCAGCCGTGGCTCTGTCAAAGATCGCACACAACAGGGCTTCCCGACCATAAAGGTCTAAAAGTTTACATTGTACTCTTTACAAGCATCATTCATGTTGACCATTATTTTAACAAGGTTTCTTTGTTCTTTTGTGCATATTTTCTTTATTCAGTTGGAAGGAGTCAATGAAGCCGTCACCCTGCAGATTTTTGTGGCCAATGATACTGGTCGTGTGAAGCCTCATGGTTTCTACCAGGCCTGCAAAGTCACTGGCCGAAACACCACTGTCTGCACAGAGGTGGACATCGAAGGCACCACTGTTATTGAGGTTCCCCTGGAGCCCAGTAATGAAATGACTCTTGCGTGAGTAGTCCTGGCCATATTACGTACAGTGGGGCAAAAAAGTATTTAGTCAGCCACCAATTGTGGAAGTTCTCCCACTTAAAATAATGACAGTGGTCTGTAATTTTCATCATAGGTACACTTCAACTGTGAGAGACAGAATGTGGAAAAAAATCCAGGAATTCACATTGTAGGATTTTTAAAGAATTTATTTGTAAATTATGGTGGAAAATAAATATTTGGTCAATAACAGAAATTCAACTCAATGGAAGGAGGTTTTGGCTCAAAATCTCACGATACATGGCCCCATTCATTCTTTCCTTAACACGGATCAGTCGTCCTGTCCCCTTAGCAGAAAAACAGCCCCAAAGCATGACGTTTCCACCCCCATGCTTCACAGTAGGTATGGTGTTCTTGGGATGCAACTCAGTATTCTTCTTCCTCCAAACACGACGAGTTGAGTTTATACCAAAAAGTTCTACTTCGGTTTCATCTGACCACATGACATTCTCCCAATCCTCTGCTGTATCATCCATGTGCTCTCTGGCAAACTTCAGACGGGCCCGGACATGCACTGGCTTCAGCAGGGGGACACGTCTGGCACTGCAGGATGTGATTCCCTGTCGTCGTAGCGTGTTACTGATGGTAACCTTTGTTACTTTGGTCCCAGCTCTCTGCAGGTCATTCACCAGGTCCCCCCGTGTGGTTCTGGGATTATTGATCACCGTTCTAATGATCATTTTGACCCCACGGGATGAGATCTTGCATGGAGCCCCAGATCGAGGGAGATTATCAGTGGTTGAAATATCATTTTGGGCTACATTTGGACTATCTTTTATACAGATAGCGAGTTCAAACAGGTTCCATTAATACTGGTAACGAGTGGAGGACAGAAGAGCTTCTTCAAGAAGAAGTGACAGGTCTGTGAGAGCCAGAGATGTTCCTTGTTTGAAGTGACCAAATACTTATTTTCCACCATAATTTACAAATAAATTCTTAAAAAATTCTACAATGTGAATTCCTGGATTTTTTCCCCACATTCTGTCTCTCACAGTTGAAGTGTACCTATGATGAAAATTACAGACCTATTTTAAGTGGGAGAACTTGCACAATCGGTGGCTGACTAAATACTTTTTTGCCCCACTGTATATGCAGTCCTTTTTTTTTTGCTTTTTCAAATGGTGCACTAGACTAAAACTTTTCTTCAGGGTGGACTGTGTTGGAATCCTGAAGCTGCGTAATGCAGATGTAGAAGCTCGTATTGGTGTGGCAGGATCAAAAAAAAAGAGCACTCGAGCCAGACTGGCCTTCAGAGTGACCATCCCTCAGCCTGATGGATCAGTGCTCACATTACAAGTCCCATCGTCACCCATCCTCTGCAGTAAGCTGCTTCCGCTTGAGTTATGCAAATGTCTGCATTACATGGCATGTTTTGAAATCTCATATTTCTCCTGTAGCCCAGCCTGCAGGTGTGCCTGAGATTCTAAAGAAGAGTCTTCACAGTTGCTCAGTGAAAGGCGAAGAGGAGGTTTTTATTATCGGAAAGAATTTCCTCAAAGGAACTAAAGTTATTTTCAAAGAAAATATTACAGGTACTGTTGCATAATTATGAGAACCATTTGTGTTATATACAAAACAATGCTATGTGTACATGTTTAATTGCAGATGAGAATTCATGGCAAGCTGAGGGAAAAGTTGACATGGACTTTTTCCATCAGGTAAAAGTCCATGGCATTAGATAAGAAACTAATGCAAATAGAGTAAAGCTGTACACAAAAGTATTTTTGTGTCAAAGCATTTTTTTTATCATGTATTTTATTGTGTCCTTTTTAGAATCACCTGATTGTCACAGTTCCTCCATTTCACAATCAGTCAATTACTTCACCCGTTTCAGTGGGAATATTTGTGATGACAAATGCTGGTAGATCACATGAGGCCCAGTCCTTCACCTACTCTCCAGATCCAGGTACCTCCTGCAGTATATGAATGTACTGGTACTATAGTCACCACTCAGTGGATTGTTTGTTTCACTCTCATAATTTTTTTTCTTTCTAACTTTCAGTTGATAACACAATCCAAACTGTAAAAACAGAAGGAACTTCATTGGTGAAAACATGCATATTTGATGAGCAGATCAAAACCATGTCTTCTGACCAGACTGAGGGTTCTAGACCGATGTCCAAACAGGAAGTGACTCCAATGGAAGTGTCAAGCCTCCCATCATCAGATGTGTTTAAAGTAAGCATGGTACTGCTTTTTGCACCCAGCAGTAACTAAAAGGCTTTAACTTATTCCTTGTGTGCTTCTTTTAGCCATCCTCTGACACCTTGAGCTCAGTACAACAGAGTTTGGATCTTTCCTCCAGCACTCTCCCAGTTTCAGAGTCTTTTCAAACTCCAATGCCTCTTCAGCCTGAAGATGTTGATCTTCCCACTGCTCCTGCTGTGTTTTCAAGCCTTGACTCCCTGAGTGCTATCCAAAAGCAGGACATTGCCTCTTCTACTGCGCCTTTCCCAGTTTCTGGGGACACATCTATCCCTCCTGTAACTCCTGAGGTGCCTCAGCAGTTCCTCCGTGACCCCCAGGAGAGCCCTGCCTCGGAAACGGCCAACAATAGTGGGGGAGTGGTCGTGATGGCTCTGCCTCAAATGGCTGCCCCCACACAGCCTCAGTCACAAGTGTCTATGTTTGTTCAGGATGGTGTGGCCCAGCTGGAGCAGGCTGTGCGTGAGCTCCAATCTGGGAACAGCAGCACACTGCAACAGGTCCTGGAGGCGGCTGTGGCTCAGCAGCAGCAGCTAAACTCAGTGCTGTACAGCCCTACTCCCTCAGCAGAGTCTTTGCAGCAGCACGTCCAGGAGAACATGAACAGCCTCTGTCTTGGAACCAATGATGGCCCCATGAGCACACAACAACATCTGCACTTACAGCAGCAGCACTTCCAACAGCAGCAAGTGCTGGGCAACATGCAGATGCAACAACAACAACTGCTGCTGCAGCCACAGGAGCAGATCAACCTTCAACAGAGCCAGGGCCAAGTACTGAACAACATGCAACTGCAGGATCAGCAGCAACAAACGCAGATCCTCAACAATCTGCAGATGCAGCAGCAGCAGATGATGGACAATATTCAGAGTCCAAACTCCACACAAGTGCTGGGGAACATGCAGGTCCAAACCCAACAGCAATCCCAGATACTCAACAACCTGCAGATGCAGCAGCAACAGCAGATCCTGGACAACATTCATCAGCAGTCTACAATCCTTGGCAGTATGCAAATTCAAGATCAGCAGCAGCAGACCCAGATTCTGAGTAGTCTGCAGATGCAGCAGCAGCAACAGACGCAGGTGTTGAACAACTTGCAGCAGCAGCAGCAGGTCTTGGAGAACCTGCAGCAGCAGCTCCAGGCTGAGCTCCTGCAGCCCCAGGTGCAGCAGCCCGTATCTCTGCTGCAGCAGGCTGGAGAGCTGCTCACCATCCAGACCAGCTTCCCCTCTCAGCCACCCTCACACAGCTCTCCCCCACAGCAGCTCTTCCAGTCTCCCTGCCCTTTGGCTGAAACACAGGGCAACCAGCAGCAGGTGCTGCTGCAGAATACCATTAATGCGCTGACTGGTGGCACTCTCAACTCTGAACAGCCTCCGACTGGCCCTACCTTATACCTTTCCCCCAATACAGCGCAACAGCAGCAGCCACCACAGCAGCTCGCATTCATTTCCTCTATGGAAACCTCTTCCAATCAATCTCAACATGTTCAAATGTTTCAGTCCCAACCCCAGACCCAGATGTCTCAAATGCAGCAACAGACTACCCCAATGGATCAGCAGCAATCTTCTCAGCAGGCAACGCAGCAGCCTTCACAACTTACAATTGGTCAACAAAGTTCTTTGTTCCAAACACTTGCGAACCAGCCAAACACTGTTTCCCAAAACCAGCTAGTCCAGTCTCAGCAGACTAGCTTACTCCTCTGCACAGCTGATATGACTCCACAAGCTATTACCCCAACTATTCTTTTCAGCACCCAAGCCCAGGGCCCTGCAGATGGCATTGGTGTTGGACTCTCCCGGTCAGATACCACCGAGCCCATGTCTTTTCAAGATGGGAGCTCAGGCAGCAACTCTGCATCCACCGGTAGCCGACAAGCAAATCTCTTCCAGGAGCAGCAGCCGATGCAGGTGGTCTCAGGCTCTAATGTCCAGAACAGTCAGCCGGTAGACCTTTTTCTTCCCTCAGCATCTATGTCCAACCTGCAGAGCACCCTTGGGGCGCAGGAGTTAACTAATCAGGCCACAAACAGTGGAACTACCATATTTTTGGTCCAGAGTGCTGTCGGAGTAGTTGGCAACCCTGGGCAGCATCCTCCAGAGCAGCTGTTTCAAACAAACATCACAGGGAATGTTACTTCACAGGGCCAGGCCAACGTTTTCGTGTTTGGCATTCAGAATGGTAAGAAAAGTCCAGTCGATGTTAGTTGATATGTTTTTGTTGGTATTAAACTTGTTGTTGTTCCTCCAGATTCGCAGCTGCTAAGTTCATCTGGAAGCTCATTGCCCGCTCAGAACCAGGCTCAGACTGCCACACACATGCAGAGCCTGCTGGACCAGACTATGGGTCAGGCACCACCCTCCAATCCTCCCTCGCTTCACAGTGGTCTGCAGAACTCCCTTGAGGTGCAGTTGCGGACAGCTATGCAGAACGCACCAATAGACTCTAGTATGACTACTCCAATGCAGACAAACGTACCCATGCAGACTAACATGCAGAACACGCTGCAAGCTTCCATAGCTTCAACATCTAGTATGGATAAAATTGAAGACTTGCTAGAAAGCTTTCAGAAGCAGTGATGCATTGTGTGTCACATTGGCACAGATAGGAGTGAGACAGATGTAGCTAGATGTATACATTTTAACACCGCCAATACATGTGGTGTTTGTGCCAATGCTACAAAGATTTTATATATTTAAGATAAGATTGACCCCTTTTCACTTTAAGCCCAAAGTCAAAACTTTTAAACTTTTAAGTGGATTGAAATATTTATGTTGGTGACTTTGCCTTTATGATAGCCCCTCTTGCAGGATGAGAGAGGCTTCTATTGATGGCTTTTAACCATTTTAATATAAAATGCAGTCTTAGTTTGTACTTGACTGGAGGCAAAAAAGTAGAGTTGTGAGGTGCAGAGAGAGCTAAAGAAGCTAACCACAAGGTCTCATGCTTTGGAACCAATCTAAATTGACATTTTGTCCAGATCTCATTATTTGATTGTCTGGTCAGTGGGTTTAACTTATGCAAAGTTGAAATACTTGTTTGATCTATACAAACCTAGTATTTGCACATGTAATTCAGAAATTGGATATAGGTGTACTCTAAGAGTAAAGACTGTGAAATGCCTAGCACTTACGATGGCAAAATTGAAGACAAATTGAACTAATGTTTATGAGAATGGAACAAAAGCCAGTACTGATGATCCAGGTTTTTAAGGAACGTTGAGATAAGATTGAGTCTTGTGAATAATCGGACATTTATTGTTAGGGCACTGCTTAGTTTTACCACACGCTTCAGGAGCTATTGGCAACTTTTGTTTGGTATATTTTCAGGTGAGAAGTTCGTTTCCCCGTTTTGTGTGGTTTTATAAACATTTTATCTCTAGCACTTTATAACCTCTGGAACCAGCTAATCCTTAAACCTGTCCGCAGATACTGACTGACCTGACTGAATTCGTACCCAGTAATGTGCATTTAATCAGTGAAAACTATTGATAGGCTGTTGTCTTTGTAAAAGGTAAATACATTCTTACCTGGCATTTCTAAACCATTTTCAACTTTGTATAAAACCTGTTCCAGTAAGCAAACTTTAACATAGTTGGTGTGTTCCAGTTAAGAGCAGCCATTCCATCAGTAGCTTTGATTTTCCTCTTGATCAGAAAAGCTGCTGGTCATCAAGTATTAAAATGAAGGCATATTTGACTGTGTGATACTGATTAGTCTGTTGACTCTTTGTGTTTGAAGTTTGTTTGTCTCAGTGTTTCTACCCATTGCAGCTGGCATCCAGTACTGTCCCTAGTGTTTGGCTGAGAAAATCTGTTACGAAGAGACTGCCGTTTTGACTTCATCTTTGGTGCTATGTACAGGGGCGGTTGGCACTTCTGAGGAATAGTCTCTGCCTAAATAAATGGCACTAATGTTGGAGTATTGAATGCACAGTGGGCTGTTGTGATGGGGTCAGACTGGCTTGCACCCAGGCATACCAAAGCTCCGGTTGTAATGTAAAGGCCCCCATCTTGTTCACTCATTTGTACTTTTTGGAATGAAATGATGCAGCTTATACATTGAGTGTTTGCATTGGATCTCAAATATCATAAGGTACTTAGGTTTGCGGGTCATAATCATTAACATTTCCATTCAGTTGACATTTCATTCTGTTACTTTTAAATATATTTTCAGCGACATTGATACTGCTGTATTTTGCATATCTATATTAGTAGCCAACCTGGCAATATCAAAAGCCAGTTTTTGATAAGTGTCAGAGAATAGTCTCATGTGATAAACATGCGTTTACATTTTCATAATCATCTATTTTCCCTTGCAATGATAGTACTCCATTTTAAAGTAACTTATATTTTGTAGGATTTTGTATCCATTTATCAAAACGACTAGACTATTTTTGTAAAATATGGTTTTGCTCATAGCACAAATATCATTGTTGTACTTTGAGTGAATTCCAAGTGTTTACTAAGGTGTAGAAATGTTAGACAGCAAGCCGCTTTTAGTGTGAAGTCGACTCATTCTGCAAAAATTTGACATTTGTATTGGTCTGTGTGTGTGTGCGCACTTTTACGTGTGTGCCTGATTTGAATGTTTTTTGTTCTATATTTTTTGCATCTCAAACAGCACTTTGACCCGTCCACAAACTGTAGATCATGTTCGAGAGCAGTACTGATGTTTCCAAGCATTCCGTTCCTCTGGGTTAGGGGAGTTTAAGAGCACATTCATGTTGTAACCGGACAGAAATGCCTCTTGAAGCCATACCAACACAGAAAGCCAACAACCTGTGACTTATCAATGAATGTATATCTTACCTCATGGCGTGGAATCAGCGCTTGTTCTACATCCAACACCGGACCAATTGCAGTTTTGGTGAAAGCATATTTGGAGGATGAGGAGGTGGGGACGCTGGAAGTGGCAAACTGTCATATCTCGCATTTTATCTGTTGTCATTGGGTCTTTGAACAAACCAGGATGCTCTGACTCCTCAAAACAGCCATTTATGATTTTACACGGTGGAAAAGATAGCACACAAACCTTTGAAGAACCCCCGTCTCTTGTAAATGAAAATCCTTGTGTGTATAAAATATATATATATGAATATAAATGTGAAATGCACTGCAGGGGTTTATCTGACTCCAGTTGTGATGCTTTCAACAGAACTTTGTGTGCCTTGATAACCGAAGCGTTACTGTTGTGTTTGACTGGTGTCTTTTACCGCGTCATGGCTACTCGAGTTTTCAATTCCCTGAACTGTTTTAAGAATCAAAACCATTTCCCCACTCACAACTACATCAGTATATTTACTTTTCCTTGTAATAGTTTGACGATAAAACGTGCAGCTTCGACGGTTTTAAATAATGAACTGGTTAAAGATATTTTTTTTCTTTTAAGCCTCATGAGATTTGTACATGTGAGGTAAAAGGGACAAAGAACGATGGAAGAGACTGTTTTATGAATGAAGAGCTTTTTTGTGTTGATGTGCTTGTCAACATTACTATTGTTGCTGTGAATTGCTTGATCAAAAAGGAGCAACCATGATGAAAAAATATGAACTGTTTGCCAATAGTGTGAGCTGTGTTTTTGTGCGTGATCCATCAGCTCACGTTCCTAGTTTGCTTACAATTTCACATCCTCCAATAGTTCAGTTTGTTATTTCTGTTCAGTGTAGCTTGAGCTTTAGTATCTAGCCTTAAGACCCCACAGTAACAGGGGGGAAGGTCAACCCAATGTGTTGTCATAAACTCAACTATTATTAACATGTATTTTGCCTTGGTCTGGACATTTGTATACTCTTCTGTTTATATCTGTAATCCTGCTGCTACAATAAATGACTTAATAAAAATGAGTGGTTGTCTTCATTCCGTGTTTGCAGCTTATGTAACATTTACATTGTGTCCAATCCCAAAGTACATTTCATTTATTGCACTTGTGAGATTTTTCATCCAGCTTTAAGTCCAAAATGTAATAAAAATAATAATATAATAAAAATATGATATATATTTGGCACCTTTCTGGGCACTCTTGCTCTACGTTAGTTAGTTAGGCTTCAGTTTTGTGCTTTTAAATTAACTAAGAAATTTGAATCAAGGTGGACTTCACAATCCGGATCGTCGGCTCCTGGATATGTCTGGAGAATATAACTGGGGCTCATGTGCAAAAAAATAATCTGCAACTCTAATTTCCAAAGTCACGTTCGTTGGCTTTTCTATTGTTTTGCCTCCATCTATGTTATTTGTGCCAAAGTACATAAATCTGGGGTTTGAATGAAAACTGGTTTCAACTTTTAATGTGTCTAATAAAACCTAAATTGGCTATGTGTATCCTCTAATCTAAAATGTGTAAAAATATGGAGCTCCTATTCCATTTGAGGTTTTAATAAAAGTTTATTTGAAATTACAATGTTGAACCTCAATGTAGAGTCTAAAGCACAAGATACTATTCACTTACACCACTTACTCCATTTTTATTTGATCAACAATACAATCTGTCAACATTCTAAATCTAATCTGTCTGAGAAGCCTTTACAGTACAAATACATTGCCCTGCAGTTTTGGCATCCAATTACAGTGAGATTCTTATAGGAACAATCAGTAGGACAAATATACAATACAGTATCTGTGGTAAAGGTTAGGGTGGATTATATCGACATTTTATAAACATTTTATCAGTGGGTTTCATCCATAAGTTTGATGCTTATATTAAACCGGTAAAATGGAGCCAGCCCATGAAAGGGGTTTAGAAAAAAGCTCACCTCCATATTAACATTTATGATTTCTTACTAAAAATGTTAAACCAGATCAAAGGACAACACTAAATCTTCTATATTTCCCTCAATTAAGATTATTAGAAAATATTTTTTTTTATTACATTTGTTTTATATAGCGCTTATTTGGACACTCAAAGATGCTACACACAATATTTTTCATTCACTCTGTACACAATCTACTACTGTAAACACAGTTGCCCTGGGACAGAGAACCAGACACTCTTCGACCACCACCAGCCATTCATGCACTCTAAACACACAGTAGGCAATGTGAGTGAAGTGTTTGGCACTTTACAGCAGCAGGCACCCCATTGAAACACGTGTTCCCAGAGGTCTCTCAGCACAGCACTAACCTGGCTTTGCACTGCTTAGCTTCAGGGATCTGACAGGATCTGACTTTCACACGCAGGTGGCACCACAAATTATTTTAATGATTCAAGTTTTATTTTTATTTATTCATTTATTTGATAGGGACAGTGTTCATTAAAGAACATTACTGTAAGTGTACCAGAATTAGCCACAAGACTATTTTTCATCCGTTGTCCCTGGACAGATTAAAAATGTCAACCTAAAAGCAAACACATAAACACTTAAATACAAAACATCAATAATAAAATAACAGTGTACAATTACCACATATAGAAACAGTTAAAAGTTAGTGTTGACATTTTGTGATGAACCATGATTTGAGAACAGCTTGTATGAGGCCAGCTCTCTGATGTTTGACTGTGAACCATAGACTATACAGTGTGTGTGTGCAGCTTTTAGTAGGTCTTGACTACATCTCATTCACTTTCTATAATAAAAATATCAATACAACATCAAAATGAAATCTATTCAGGGAGTAGCTTTTTTTTGTAATTTGATTGTTTAACAAGGATTTCCGATATACATCTGTTTATATTAATTATAGCCAACAATGCTGCGATGTCATCAGAAACTTAACATATTTTTTTCTTACATACATTTACGTACAGGGTAAATGCTGTGTTGCTTCGGAGCCATAGACTGTATTCGGAGCGCTGGTTCGAGTCCAGCTTCCCCCAAACAGCAACAGAAGCGCGTGGACTCCATTTCCCATGACCCCTTTCGACACTCGTCACTCTGTTGTTGCGGAAGTTAGCCCCTCGCCACACACAGCTGTTCACACACATTTTAGCTGTTTATTTGTCCATAGCCTTCTGTATTTGTTTTATTTATTTATTATAGCACTGAATAGACATGTCAGCTCTGCAGTACGCGGGCATGGACGACACGGACAGCGAGGACGAGCTCCCCCCGGGCTGGGAGGAAAGGTCCACTAAAGATGGATGGGTCTACTATGCCAAGTAAGTTGTAGCACACCTGCTGTCTCCCCTGTGATTACTGAGGATAAAACACTGTAGAGATCTGTGAAGTGACGAGGGGGCAGCTTCAAACCGATGATGTATCTATATATGGATCTATAACACCTGTTTAACCAGCGGGAACAATCATTTAACAGCATTTAGTTTGTAGCACATGTTAGGAGATCAAGTTCAATCTCACCATCACACGGTAATATTATGATGAATAAATACATTTGCACGAGAACAATGTACAAATGAACACAAAAACAACAAAGGCTATTCCTAAAACTACTCCCAAACGGTAAAATTAAATTGAGGACGTTCTTAATCATAAACTGTATGTTTATTTCACTAAATTATGTTGGAAGGAAAGCCGATATTGTGTTTATTTCTACTTTTGTATATTAGTTATGAGAACAATGGTTGTAATGCTTCCATAAGGTCTGATATTGCTTGATCACATTTGGAACAGGTGCATATTTAATCACTGTATGTGTTGAGCCGACGATGTTCTGCCAGAATGTGTTGCCACAATTACTAGCGGCCGCTTCTGTCGATCTATCGGGCAGACTGACAGAAGTGAGGAAACCAGTATGTGCCAATCGCCCCCTCCTACGACCACCAACGATTCACTCCGCAGAGTCCGCACACGATATTCATGCTCGACATTGTGGTAAAGTGTCTTGCTTAAGGACACAACGCCAGTTTGGCACTTTCCAGCTGCAACCGCCACACTGTGGGATTCTGTGTTCTCAGAGATCTCCCATCACATACTAACCAGGTACTGTCCTGCTTAGCACCTCACGTCTGACTGGCTTTCACACACTGATGGCAGCAGAGCATCAGTAGTGGTGAATATTAATAATGAATCAGTTTTTATATAGCGCTTATTTGGACACTCAGACGCTTTACATGTCATTATTCATTCTCTCCATACATGGTGGTGATAAACTACTGCTGTAGCCACAGCTGCCCTGGGGCACACTGACAGAAGCGAGGCAACCAGTATGTGCCATCGGCCCCTCCGACCACCACCAACCATTCACACACCTGACTCATTCTAGGCAATGGGGGTTAAGTGTCTTGCCAAGGACACAACAACAGCAGACAGTAGAAGTCGATGATGAAAGTCTTGGTGGGCTCAAACCCACGACCTGGCTCAAAGGCCAATGCTCAATCAACTGATCTACTGTCGCCCTGTGAAGGCCCATTGTTTGGTCCTGTGCTGGTGGGAGTCAGATGTTTGAGAAGGTGGATGAGGGGACCAGTTGTTGGTACTAGAAAGAAGAGAAAACTAGAGTCAAACGGCCTTTTACAGCTGGAGTTCCTATTCTTTTTGCCCTGTATATACACTCTTGCCAGCAAAGACAGGGAAATCAATTTTTTAGGCTTTACTGTAAGGTCTCCAGTTACTTTATGGAAAGTATAACTTTATCTCATCTATTTTAGTTCATTGTTTTAATTTGTCCTTTTGGTTATGCATGTATTTTGACCAAATTATTTCATTTTGAGTTTTAGTTTTTGTCGTTTAGTTTTTTTCTGAACAAAATGAGTACATGTTTAGACTGGCCATCCCAGTGGATGTACAGTATTTTAATAACACTAGTAACCTAATTTTTTTGTCAAACTATGTTTGATTTATTGTTGATGAGATGCCTATAATTACTGTATAATCATAGTTGTTCCTCATCTATGAGAGACAAAATGGGAAAAAATTATCTAGAAAATCCCATGTCTGATTTGTCAAACATCATACCTACGTAAATGTCATGCTTTTGGGCTGTTTTTCTGCAAATGAACCAGGACGGTTGATCCTATATTAAAGGAAAGAATGAATGGGGTTATGAATTATGATATTTTGAGTGCAAACCTCCTATCATTATTGAAGAGCATTGAAGATGAAATAGGGCTGGTCTTTTAGCATGATAACGATCCCAAACACACTGCCCCGGCAACAAAAGAGTGGCTTTGTAACGGGGGATTTACACAGTAGGCGTAAACAGCGCGTACGCGTTTACTGCGCGCTCTCTGCGCGTAACATTTTTTTGGAGTATCTACACTGACCGTGCGCGCAGGTCCGCGGCTTCTGATGCTCTCCCTGTGTAGTCTATGGAGCAGTGTAGAGGACAGTACGAGCCAGAGGACTGATGTAGAGCAACACAAATCACATGCATGTGTTTGTCTTCATGGTCTCTGTGCGCTGGTTTGGCCAGACGCGAGACTTTATGAAAGAAAAAAAACGATGTCCAGAATCACTGTAAAACCTGCTGCTCCTCCTGCTGATGTTTAGACACAAGTGCAGTGTGCGTGCAGCTGTGATCTAAAGCCAAGGACCGCTAGAAAAATCATGTTTTACATGAGATTTCAATGGGAGACGCGTTGGTGCGCGCACAAAATTAGAAATCCATCCTAAATTAGAGCGCAGCTTCGCGTCACATGTCCGTCATACGCGCGTATAACGCTAGAAGTGTAAATATCATCATAGGTTAACATGGAAAAAAGTTACGCGCGTCTGCTGCGCGTATAACGCGTACGTGCTGTAACGCGTGATGTGTAAATTAGCAGTTAGAAGCATTTCAAGGTCCTGGAGTGGCCTAGCCAGTCTCCAGATCTCAACCCCAGAGAAAATCTTTGGAGGGAGTTGAAAGTCCATGTTGCGTAGTGACAGCCCCATAACACTGCTCTAGTAGAGATCTGCATGGAGGAATAGGCCAAAATAACAGCTGTGTTGAAAACATTTGACCATGTCATTGCCATTCAAGGGTATATAACAAAATAAAGTATTGAGTTGGTCTGTTATTGACTAAATACTTATTTTCCACCATCAATTTCCAATTAATTCTTAAAAAACCAGATTTAATAAAAAATAATTAAAAAAATGGTTTCTCATAGTTGAGTATACCTTGACTATCATTTATTCTCTTCTTAAGAGGGAGGACTTGCACAGTTGGTGGCTGATTAAATTTTGTTTTGCTCCACAGTGTAACTGACAAACATGGTTTTAGAGCATGCTTTTCTCAAAGTGGCGGGGCCTCCCTTCTCTTGGCGTGCACCGCTGCTCTTTCCTGGACCAAGTGCAGCCCTTGCCGTACACGAGTGTCATCCAAATAATTTGTGCACCATGAGGGAGGAGAGACTCTGTCTGCCCCCAGGGTTGGGCATAAGGCCGTGATGACGAATTGGAGTATGACACAGTATGACACTTTAAACTTGGGTTATTCTTTTCTTGCTATTGAAGTATAATAGATTATATTGGCATTAGTATGACAAAGCGGGTTACTTTGTCCCTTTTCATGTCTTGCATACTTATCTGATAAGAGTTTGTAAGCTCTCAGTCGTTCCTGTGATTAGACAAAGCAAAGGAAGGTTTCTCACCCATCTGTACTTCTTAGCAGGTTTTCCTGCGACTGAGGGCTTACACAAAGCCCGAGTTGGCCATTTTGTACCTTTTGTGGGTGGAGCCTTCTCATTTTAAAAGCTCCCAGGTGAACCTCATCAAGAACCTCATCAGGAGGAGACAGGGCCAAGGGACAGAACTGTCTGATGCTCTTGTGCAAATCAATCTTTTGAGTCACTCATTTTAACTCATTGCTTGCCAGCCTATTTCAGAACAGGTACTTCCATATTGCCAGCCGTTTCTGATGGTTTTTTACAGATTTTTCAAGACCCACAGAATATTGTGCACTATGACTATCCGAAATCCGATGTGTGCTATGACTATCTGAAACCAGATTCTGAAAGAATGGACTGTCTACTTTCATCAGCAAAAATAATTTTGTTTTAAGCTTGTTTCGTTCCCCTGTAATCCCCAGTTGAGTAGAGGGAAGTTTTACTGAAATCACTAGCCGAGAAAAAGAGGATGCAACAAGTGCATTCTGTTTTCAAAACATACAGAGGCAGCGCTGGTGCCACCTGCTGGCTCGATAAAATATGCTCTAAAGCTAATCCCCCTACATATAAGATATAATAGACCTCATGAAAATACTTGGTTTCACGTGTTTACAATATTGATCCAAAATGCACTTTTTAAACACATTTTAATTTTGGATCAATATTGCACACTTTGACCCCCATTTTCTTGGAATTTCCACAGTAAAAGTGAATTTCACTTTGCATAATAGTAGAGAGCATCACAGTGAACAAGTGTGCAGTGAAAGCCTTTTCTAAGGTTTTTTATTTAAATAAAAAAACCCTGATCATGTTAAAAATTACATTGTGGCGGCTCATCCACGCGGCTTCTCTTTCCTATGTTACCGTAAGTAACAGCATAAAGCGGCCACCCGCTTTTAATGTGTGGAACTCTTTACCGCTGACTCTGAAAAGCCGGACCTCTTTACCGCGGTTGTCAGCAGCTACTCCACCACAAAAAGCCATTTCGATACCCAACTCGGTTATTCTGTCGCATTGTCCTCGTGTAAACGATCAGATCTCATCTGACCTGACAGACTATTGTTGATGTACAAATCGGACCTTCTTGGTTTGCATGTTCTTAATTGTAAAGAACAAGACATTTTTGTCATTTAGACACTGAATGTTGGTTGTTTTAAGTAACCGAGTGAGAATATAAGTGTTTAATTATTTCTATCCTTTTCGTCTCTTATGAAATGGTTCCTAATAAACTGAAAAATAATATCTGGATAAAATTTTCCTCTAGGTAACAAAAAATATATATTTTTGATTGTTTTAACTTTTTTTTTCTAGTCATGATGATATGAAGACCCAATGGGAGCATCCCAAGACTGGAAAGAAAAAGCGTTGTGCTGGAGGTTTGTTTTTGTTTGTTGCCTTATGAATGATATAGTTTCTACATGGTCAGTAAGAGTTGTCTAAGTGAAAGAGAAGATTGACATAACAAGAAAATGTTTGTACTCCAGCCACTCAGTGCTCTCAGACCTGCTGAGTGGCTTGTGCGTCACAAAACACTCCAAATGTTTTAATCCATTTGAGCAGCTGCGGAGCCTCCAAGTCTCCAAGATGTCTGCCCATTCAAGTCCATGGCCCGTGCTCATTGGCGCATGCTCGCCCGTGGCCGTCCCAAATATTAGCAGAAGTGATATGTTTTGGCCAGCTCTGGTTCTCTCCCAGTGGTTTTACTTTTGCATCACCCGAGTGCCATGTGGGGAGCGTTCTGACCAGAGCACACAGATCAGAATGAAATCCATACTTTGTTGCATTGAAGTTTGGATTTATATAAAACCAATGGATTACAAGAAACGCTAAAATTCTCACAAAACCCAACCTTTGTGAAAGCTGTAGATCAGCTGCGATTGAGCCGTTTTAGTTAATATTGAGATAAATAGGAAAAATTCTTAAACGGCTCATGTGAATTTAGGCTGTAGTACTTGTAGTACCCTATCTGTATGATATCATCCATCCATGCTTCTTTTAAAGTTGGATATATAATTCATTTTTTACATTTTCATCCCCACAGAAAGTGTCAAAGTCGAATCAGACCATATCTTGCTGTCTTCATACCTTGCTTCAATACCTCGCCCTCTCTTGGTGGGCACAATAATAACAACAGTGACAGTGACAGCACCTCATTGTGGGTATATATTTTTGTGCAGATCTACCCTATGGCTGGGAGCAGGAAACTGACGAAAAGGGGCAGGTCATTTATGTGGAGTAAGTAACCGAGGAATACTTGAGCTCTCCTCTGTAGACCATTTACAAGGATATCTTTTATGTGATGTATTTGTTTTCTAGTCATATCAACAAGAGGAGGACGTACTTTGACCCGCGGCAGGCCTTCACGGTGGAGGACGTTGTGGTGAAGCCCAAACGATATGATGGGAACACTGCAGCTCTCGAGATCCTACAGGGACGGGACCTCTCTGACAGAGTGGTTCTCATCACTGGAGGCAACTCTGGCATCGGTGAGTGCTATTGTCTGTGTCTGCAGTATTGATACAGAGACATGCTTTGTTGTGTTCTAAGACTGGCCCGAAACGCATGGGCGTTTTTTCTATTTATCATTTCAAACAATTCACGTCTTGTTTCTCTTATTCCTTAGTTCCTAAAAGCCTCTATGCTAGGCCTCTTTTTTAAAATGAAAGAGTTGTGTTTGACTTTCAATTATTTGCTCTATTTAAGAGCCAGAGTCAAAAAGCCTAAAGTCCTTAATTATTTCAACACCAAAATTATGTGTTAGAGAACCCTCTTATTTGAATTCTCTCTTATTGTCAAAATCAGTTTGTTGAACTACTTTGGTGTTTATGTGAAGATGCCACTAGATGGTGCCGTTGTACTTCACTCTGTAAAACGTCAATGCAAAGTTCATATCTCTTGGCCACGCTTCCTTCCTTCCCCATCCAGATATCCATCAGCATTAGCATCTAGAATGATACACTTAGACTCAACAAATCACTGCTTAATACGCAACATGATTGTATTGAAGTTCATTAGCTGGGCTGAATTGGATGTCATTGTTAACCATTATGAATAGTGGTCCATTTGCACCAAGCTAATGCATGCCTTACCATATAATGGCCGGGAAACAAATGCATTTCTTCTTTGCGTTAGTATAAATTAGGACAAGAGTGGCCATTTGTTTCCACTGGGAGCTTTGTGTGGAACTGATAATGACAGCGAGGAGGAAATCAAATAAACAGAAAATCGTTAATTAAATACTTTGGCCCATAAATGTCAAAACCGTGTAGTTCTACACAGTCATTAAAACTAGACATGTGGAAATGTACAAAAGACATTAGATGTAATCCACAAATTCAATTGCAAGTAATCAAGAATGGCATTAATGAATACTGCCAGTTAATGTGTCCAGGTTTTGTTTGAGTTCAACACATTTGCATGACATCCTAACAAACCTAATATTAGTCCATTTTCCACATTTGTATTTATTCATTTACTACATAAGAGTCTAGGAATGGAGGTGTTTTTTGTGTGTGCATGTTTTCAGTCTTTTGCACAGTATATGTAAGATAAAATGGTAATGAGATGTTAGTGGTTCCGCCCTTACTGTTAATAACGCTCTTTAACGAAAATGTAGAAAGTAATGGATTTAGTTTTGCGTTGCGTCAGTACCTGAGGGGTTTGAAAGCTCGCATCACTTGCAGCCACGGTCTTTTTACTTTTCCAATAAACAACCGCTGCAGGCTTGGCTTCTGGCGGTAAAAACAATTGTGAAAAATAACCATTAATGAGACATGAACATGACACTCTTGGACACACTTGGACCTGACAGATTATTTAATTAAATTTTTTGTTTTTGTTGATTCACCAACAACAAATCAGGGAATCAAACAGTTTGAACACAGGAAATGCAATAATAACATCCACATAGGAGCCATTGGTTCGTAGGGAGCCGGATGACCAATGTCTGAAATTTTTTAATAAATGTCCATAAATGTTATTAAAAGTTGGAACTACAAACAAACTGGCTCTTGATTTAAGCACAATTGGGAGAAGATGAGTGTTTTGGCCACTAGAGGGCACAATAAGCCCACGTTTCTGTCCACCCCAAAGTAATTGTTTGGCTTCACAAGTGCTGTTTATCCCGCTTCAAAACACATAATGACGAAAACTGTTATCTGTATACAACATGCCGTAATTATTTAGTATTTGTACAAGTCAGCTTTTTTGTCGAATCAAAAATGATAAACGTGTTTCTGGACTGAGGACGTCCATAACGAATTTGAACAGTTAATAAACCCACATTAACATAACCTTTGTTTTACTCCAGCTCTTATTTAATATGCAACGCACATAATTAAGTGCATTGTAATCGTAATTGCTCCTCCTCGCCTGCTCCTTTTGACATTCCTCCGGTAAAATGCGGTTATGCCAATTGGTGGGACCCACTTAGCATTTTAATGGCATCAATAGTGTTTTAATCCGAGTGTCAAGGCTATTACCATTTTCTTCGATACTCATTCCGGAGCGCAGGAAATGTGACACTTTTATTAGTAATGCTGCGATATTATTTAATTAGCAAATTTACATCTCAGCCCCTCGGTCCGGCCCCCAACGCACACGGGGCGTCGAACCGGCCGCGCACGCATGGGTTTATTTATGCGTGAAATGTAATAGTGTAAATTTGTAACCCACTGGGAGGCAGGGAGGTAATGCGCTTTGTCTCCGTCCGGCCCCGCGACATTAGTCTTCCACTCTGCGCCTTGCATTGTGAATTAAAAACCAACGCGGGCTTCAATGGTGTTTTTAATTGTGATAATGGAAATGAATGATTGTGGCCTGTTTTGTCCTCTCCTTCCCACCGTCCCTCTCTCCCACCCTCCTCCTAAAGCTTTTCCTCGAGCCATATAGACCTGGCCGTGTTCACCTGGACCTAAGCATTGATTCCTAAGCGACTTTGACCCAGCGCCGAGCCTCCTATCCATCCCCATTACACAGCCTTGCTCCAGCTCTAATTCCCCTTCTATCAACTAACTCGCAGGTTATTTACTGGCCAAGAGTGCACGGAGCACTTGTCCTTAAAGGTCCATCGTCGCACTGTGTCTGCTTCACTTTTGTGCTACTGCTCTGGTCGACAAAAGCCTCAAGAACCAACACTTTTATAAACATGTAATTTTATTGCCCCTCTTGGTACTTGCCTCTCGAGGTATTGTAAACATGACAGTCTTAGATTGCACTTCTGTTATGTATCTTTTAGAAAATGAGTCTCATTGAAATATTTGTTTATTTTGGTCATGTTGTTTTGTCATGCCTTATCCTGTCGTAATACTGTATATGATTTAATAACGGATGAGTCATTGGAACTTAACGTTTCTTTTGCAACATTTATAATCCAGATATGTTGATGTGTTCATCTTTTAACCCCGTAGAACCCAGACATACACACATTTGAAAATTATATGTGCTATAGCTTTGGAAGGGTCAAATTTGGCATTGTGGCATACTCGGGGTATATGAGATAATATAAAACAAATAGTCATTCTTCTTTTGCCATAACCATTGAACTTTATGTTGCATATTTGTGACCGAGGGTGCTGCAGGGTTAAGGTTCCTTTGAGATGGAACATTTCTTTCTGCCTGAAGTCGGAATGGGAAAAGACCTGTCATCCTTTGACTATCACATCACACTATGTCAGAATGTATTGCATGGAAGTGCAAAGATGCAAAGTCAAATCAGACCCAATATTAAACTGAAGTTGCATTATCAAATGTAGCTTCTGAGATACAATAATTTGAATAACTATAAATAATCACTATAAAAGTGATTATTGTACTGTTTCAAAGTGTTCAAGCAAATATTATTATCAATACATCAAACATACATGGTTGAACTACTTTGTATCAATGTTACATAAAAAATGGACAAGGACCTAACCCTATAATTCCTTCCAAACCGTTATGGCTCTTTTAACCGAGATGTTTGCTCTTATTATCTTACGTTCATTAAACATGTATGCATCAAAGTGTAATGCGTATCATATTCACACATCTGTCACCTTTGATAGAACATTGTCTATATCTGTCTGTTGTTTATTTGTTCATATTGCTAAACCCCATTGAACAACTCAATCTAAAAGCTCTCACAGAATTCCACATTGTATCCTTATTCAGGCGCAGGAGGTTAATGCCCGAATGAGGAGTGCAGAGAAGCCCCGCACTGGGAACAGAGAAGATTTGATATGGAAAACAAGTATCTGCTCGTGTTTTTAGAGCTGTTTTAGCGGCGCTCTTATTCATGGAAGACTAACGTTGTCTTGCTTTTGCCTTGATCCCGCTGTTGTTTGCAGGATTAGGGACCGGACCGCCGCCTCCCCTCTCCCTTCTCCCATCTTTCCCCAAGTGTATCGTCGTGCAGATTAAAGTTGGAGCCAAGCTTTGTGGCTGATCATTAGATTGAGGTAGATTTGTTAAGCATAACTGCCATCAAATTGACTGCAAAGCCACTGGTATTTACTGCACTGCTGTTTATGAATAAAGCCGCCACACATACAAGCAGCGTTTTTAAAGAGGCACGCGGTGATGCACTAAACCCAAGGAGGATGAGGATGAGGATGCATTATTCATAGTGGGAGGAATTAGATGGATAAAAAGATGTTTCGGGTAATGTGGGCATGCAGTGGCCTTGTCTTCAAACAGGGAGTGAGACCTCAGGGTGACGTCTTGACTAAGTCTTTGTTTACAGCCACAGAGTTGTGCTCAGATTGGCCCAGTCCAGCTGGTCCAGCTGCGCTCAATGGCAATAAAGATATTCTTTCTCTTTTAAAGTGGACGTGTAATATATTTTTTTAAGGGACTTACAAAACACGATAAGAATCAACATCACACAAGGTATTAAAATCATAAATAATCACAGTACATTAAAATGAGTGAAGATACAATCCTTCAATTTTATGCACAGCTAAACAGAACTGACTTTAACCTGGATTTGAATGCTGACAGACGAGAAGCCAGTCTTAAAATTTCAGGAAGACTGTTCCTGACTCTGGACACCAGCAGGAGGCCAGTCCCTGTGCTCCTCAGAGTTGGTTCATGTGGCACTAACATGTCACAGATGTACTTTGGTGCGAGGCCATGGAGAGACTTGCAACAAGCAGAGCTGCTTTAAAGTCTATTCTCTGAGCCACAGGAAGCAGAGACCTGAGAAATGGAGTAATGTGATCGTACTAGACCGTTTTGAATATACTGCAGCTGTTTTACAGCTTGTTTGGAGAGCCCAGTGAGCAGGCTGTTTGAGTAGTCCAAACTTAATAATTTTGTAAACTTGCACTGTAGTCTTTTACTTTGACTGTGAAGGGTGTGAGCAAAAGTCCCTTTATAATTTCAACTGCTTGCATGAGGATAAGAAGTTTGATTTAGGTGAGGTTCATCTATGAGAATGACGCTTCTGAAGCAACAGCACTGTAACCAGGGTCTCTTCTCTAGTCTTGAAGATCTTGGTCAGAAGTGCCAACATTTTACAGTTATTACATACATTACAAGTTTATGTGTGTCAGTGTGTATCTAAAAGTGGTAAGCTGTTTCTGCCACACATCTCAGTTGGGAGATGCTCAGTTCAATAAATCTGACCTGAAACCATGAAACTCCAGCTATAGTTTGCAAAGTGCAAAGTGCATGCAGGTCTCCCAGTGGACATTGATAAGCTCATTTTTGTCAAGCATTCAGTACCCAAATTGTTTCCCTGCACACTCAATGTTATTAGTAATATCATGAAACCTAGTTTTTTTATTATCCACTCCTTCCCTCCTCCCAGCGTCCTCCTGTATTCTGTAAGCAAATCGAAGGAGAGTTTTATTTTAAACTGGCACCTCTGATGAATGTGTTTATCGGCTACGTAATGAGAAGCAGTTCTGGTTGGTTAGCCAAATTATTCAACTTTATTAACCTTGAATGAAATTTGCTATACACGCCTAAACCGGTGCAAATGTGCATGCTCGGGGGGGCCAGAAGGGTTCAATAATGATTACAAAGCTATTATAATAGAAGGTGCATACTCAGATAGAGGCCAGGATACTTATGTGCTTAGGCTGTAGGTAAAATAAAACGAAAGGGCATGGGGTTATTGTGTGTGCACATGGACTTTATTGGCCTATCCAGTTTACAAGATAACAGTTACACATCTGTATTGTTGATGACTGCATCCTGTCATTGTGGTGTAAGCAAAAAACACAATAGTTATCAAAATAAATCTCAAAGTTACGGATGAGCTTGTTGTGCATGTTTTTAAGTTTTGTACCAACATTAATCTATCACCAGTGGTTATGTATGACGCCATGAGGGAGAGCTTACACCCAAACAAGTCCAGCCTCCACTTTATTATTCCCGAGTGCAAACTTTAAAGCTACTACGTTGCTTCCCACTTAAAATACGCCGTCACTATTTAGATACTTAATGGGCAGCAGTAAATTGTGTTAATTAGATAGTAAAAAGCAAGTGAAAGGAAAAGGGTGGCTGTGCCGATGAGCAATGGGTCGAGAACAAGACATTTGAACGTGGCCTGTTTTTAAAGATGTTCTTTTGGTGTCATTTTTTCGAAACAAGAAAGTTATCCAGTGTAAATGTCTTCAGTCACAATACAGCTGGTTAACTTTTGCTACTGTTAAGAATATCATATGATGAGATGCTATATTGTATGTATGTATCAAGCACTTGTTTTAAGAACCTCGACATGTTTGTTTTCAGTGCCATAATTGTTTGTTAATAAATCAAAATGGTATCAAAATATAAAACACAGAAATAGCAGGTATGAACATATTTTGATGCATGTGAATGTTTTTATTTTGCATCGAACTGTGTTTAGTTGCATGAATTTTGTGGTGCCACACTCAAACAACAAGCATGCATCCTCTTTTTATAGCTATTTTAAATCATTCAGATTCCTGTACTTCTCTCATGCATTTTGTGCATAATTTCATTTGTGGTCACAAAGATAGAATAACTGGAATAACCCACAAGTCTTCGAACGCTCCAAATCGACTTCTGTTTGGCCAATTGTACGACGAAGCTTATTTGAGTTAAATGGCTGTTTGGATGCAGATCAGGAGGTAAAGAGAAGGCAAATAAACACGTTTAGCAACCAGGGCGGTAATGATCTTATTACACTGAGCCAATACACCTGTGTACGGGGGGATCCAGAGAGGGGCGGCGGGCCAGCCACGACAAACAAAGCGTGAAATCACTAAATCACACTCATTATTGTGGATATCACAGGGGCCAGGATCCTAATGTACCATGAAGAGCATTCACTGCTTAATAGATATTTTTCCTCCCATTTTTGTATGCATTTTTATACATTACCAAAGTACATTTTCAACAAGCTATGCATTGTGTTGTATGGATTCAGAATATAAGTACAGTAATATGTTACTGTTTAATAATATGTAAACAAGAAGGGGTGGTGTATATGTTCCTTATTACATTTTTGTCTCTTAATATTTTCCTGCATCATTGTTATGTATTATTCAAAGCTTTGATAGCCAATAAATATAAGCTCAAATAGTGCTAAACTACCACATATTTACTATTGTCACAGCTTCACAACAGCTGTTTCTTGTTTAAAAGTTAATAATGGGGTGAGGGCCATGGCACGGCAATCGGCTCTCATCCCAAACTATCATAAAGACTTACAGGGGGAAATATCCAACAGCTAATAGAAAGTACTGGCTCTTGTCCCTCCACTGCACCTGTGGTTTAATACAGTCAAACTGTCCACTTGTTGTGCTCTGAGCGTCTCCTGCCTCTCTGAGCCACAAGCTGTTGTACAAACAGAGGAATTTCTCTTTTTATGTGACCCTCGTCATGTTTTGCCATGGCAGAACAACGCACTTACAGGCTGCCTGCGATGTACACCTGACCAGAAACCCATTTGAGCAGGGCCCTTTGCATCGGCAACACGAGCGAGAGGGCTGGGAGAGCGCCATTCCACTCTCGTTATTTCACAATTAATGTCAAGCCCTTGTTATGTGTCATGGCAAACACAAGGCTGCTGTGTGCCGCCATTGTCACTGCCATATTCTAATTTGTTCTCCATTATGGAAAACACTGGCGTCGATTAATTTCACTTTCATGCTTTGTACACACAACAAGTGAGGGGGAGAGTGTTGTTGTTTACAGCGAGGCAGACCCCTTGTTCACGATGTAGAAAATGCGCAGGCCATTATTATTTATTTTTGTTTAGCAATTTTTATTACATGGTCTCTAGGTTGACTAATTAACAATCTTTGTTATTTAAAGTGGTATTTTGTGGTAAAAATGGTTAAACAGTGATCAGAAATGTGATTCATATTTAACTTTAAAGTGGCAGTTTAAGTCTTGGGAAGGAATGTGAACAAATGCTACTCATCAGGTGCACAACAATAGCATCACTGAAACAGTATTGTAACTTGTTTTATAATAATAATGTATCGGTTTTATATAGTGCTCAAAAACACTTAACATGAAATTGGCCACAGATGCCTTGGGGCAGACTGACAAAAGTGAGACCACCAGAATGTACCATCACACACACACACACGCACACTAGGTAATGTGGGTGAAGTGCCTTGCCAAAGGACACAACAACAGTTTATCACTGTGGCACTTGGTTCCCAGAGGTCTCCCGTCTTAGTACAAGCCTGGTCCTGCCCTGCTTAACTTCTGAGGCCTGCCGGGATTGATAATGAATTTTACCAAAAGTGTTTGTAATAACATGCACTCTGTTCATTTCTCTTGGCTCTGTTATTTTTAGACTGTCACTGTGTGAATATCTTTCTAGTAAATGAAAGAAGCCCACACTTCATTACAGATTGGTCGGGCTCCTCCTGCCGCGTTGTTTTTATTTTCATTTCCATTTTGTGCCGCAAGCCAAATGATCTCCACTCAGTGCTGCCGTCCCCTCCATTAGACCTAATAAGGTGTCATATAATTTAATTCCATGCTTGGCTTGTCGGAAAGCCCCTCCCAATCCTACAGCCATTTTGACTTTTAATAGATATTAGTCTGTGACACTCTTCTCACAATTAGCCCTCCCAGCTTTGCATTTTAATGAAAATCAGATTAAGACATATAATATAATTATGCTTGATATTAATCCGCTCGGTAATATAGTCCCAGTTTTTAGGGTCTGTCAAAGTGCTATAGGTATAAATGTCTGTGTTACTGCGTGGCCTGTATTTAGCCATGACTAAAATGGGTAGTAACTAAAGGACAGTAAATGTCAAATGAATAGAAATATTTCTAAGGAAGGAAGAAACTTAATCTTGTGAATTAATTCCACCGACGTCTTGAAATGACCCATTTAGACGTTTGATTTAAAAAGGACTTCTCTCAGTCTAATGTCTCTATAGTTTTGTCATTTTTATCAAGAGCCTTGATAAAATAATGTACTTGTTCCTTATCACAGCCTGCTTTCCTTGTGAAATGGGACACATAAAGGAAAGGTTGTGTTTTGAATGTCATGTCTGTCTAATGTTCACTGACTCCCTATTAAGAGCTCTGTTGTTTATAATGAATTCTGCCCCTCTAACTAGCAGTAATTAACAGGCAGCGAGTGACCTCCTTTTGCCCAGTGTTTAAAGTGGGCAAAGCTGGGATCTCAAACTTTATCTTACAAAAAGTCTCTAACTAATAATTCAATCGGTTTCATCACTTCTGAGGAAAATTATTAACTGCGAGACCACTGGGTTACTCAATGAAATAAATTATATGGAAAATTGATAGGCACTTTCACAACCCCAGCCCCCCCGTGTCTCCACCCATTTAGACCAGACGCCTGAAATCAAAGTTATCTTTAGAGAAACTCATCTTTGAACTGCACTTTTTAATCTTGTGTGTGTTTTATAGGCTTTGAGACGGCCAGGTCCTTGGCACTGCATGGGGCCCATGTGATCCTGGCGTGTCGAAACCTGACGCGGGGAAACAAGGCAGCCAGCCTCATACAGGACGAGTGGGTAAGGAGCAACGCAAGTATTGCTGAGATGTCAAATATTTTCCCTATATGCCATGTGGGAAAGATGTCATCAAAAATGTAATCTCCTTTACATGATGGCGATTTGACTTTGAAGTCCTGACTACTTTTATTATTCTACATTTCATTAATTTATTCTGCTGATTGACCCAAAGCGGCCTGTCATTCAGAAGACCAAATATGTTTCATGTTTGTTAATGGTTCTGTTGCAGTCTGTATGGGTCACTTTTCACTCACTGGGCTGAAATGAGGGCCAAATAGTTTTTCATATCAAAAACATAACATGCATGGTATTTCTGACACTATTATCTTACATTATAGTGCTTTTTGAGGGGAAAACTGATATGAGCTCTTTAATTTCATGTTGTTTTTCTAGTGCAAATACAAAGCTCGTGTGATGTTCAATGATTGCTCAAACCTCACTTCCACTAAAGGATATTTGTCCTTGAAGCATCGTCTCCTTGTGTAACTGTTGGTGACCCTGTAGTTACGAGACTGGAAGTGGTTTGCCGACAGTGTCAAAAGCAGAGTGAAATAAAGGACTCATTTGTTTTGTTTTTATTCTACTATACTGTTATCTGCTAGGTGCTGTAAATGTTTGTTCATTTTGATTATTGGAAGCGTGAAAATGTTGATGACGAGCAGTAGCAGATCTTAAATAGTAAGTGAGCTTTGATGACCCCTGCTTTGCCTTGAGATCTGTGCAGGAAACCGTGCAGGAAAGAGATGAGAGTGCGAGCTAGGGCATCTGATAATTACCTGAGATTATTGCTGTAATATCGCTGTGCTGGTGACGCGTCTCCAGATTTACGAGTGTGGGAAAATAAACAAGTGAAATGTGGCCGCTGGAGTAGAAAGAATAAGCCATTAGCACTGGCTTGATTACAGCAAGCAGGACTTGAGGAGGAGAGTGAGTGCTCGCTGCTGATATGGAGCCAGTGAGAGAGCGGGAAGGAGGAGGGGGGTGAAAGAGAGCCAGAGGAGATCCGCAGTGTTAAAACTCACCCAAGTCTCTAATTGAAGTATGCCCCTGGGGCTGTCAGTGCGGCGCGCCTCTGTGAAATCCACTGTACCAATCCATTAATGTGGCCGCTGTGTGTAAACGAGTGCCGAAGAGCTCTGATCCAGATACACGCCTTTGGAAACAAATTGATCGTTCCAGCTTCACCTGTCAGAGGGCCGTCCAACACAGTCACACACAACAAAGAACTTTCTCTTAAGGCTAAGTGATTGTTGAGCTATAGTGCTTGGACTTGCTCAGTTTCATGTGTGTGCTTTTGAATTTGCCAAGTAGTGAGATACCAGTTTGGCCTTCACATGCGGTTGTCTTCTTCTGCTTCTTGAAGTTTATTGTCTCCCTCAAAGGCTCAGAATGTGATGGGTCCGAGCCAAAACAATGTATTGGAAAGGGTTGTTTTGTTCGCTGGTTTAATATCGCTTTTCACCCTGAAGACATGCATGAAAGTCTCACATAGGGGGACGGTCTCGAGACTTAACCCTGACTCGATTACGCCCCCTAGAAATGTAACATTTTGAAAGCCTTTGGGAGCCAGACGTGCAAAGCTTTGAGTAGGTCTAACAGTCGATATGAGACAAGCCGAAAACTCCTTTGGAGCACTGCCCTATGATCAACCACCATGATGCAGTGAAATTTTGCGACCAAATCCACTTTTTTTTATTGGCAAGGCAAGGCAAGTTTATTTATATAGCACAATTCATACACAAGGCAACTCAAAGTGCTGAACAAAACAAGAAAGCATTAAAAATCATAAATAATCACAGAACATTAAAAAGAAAGATACAAATATAAAATCCCTCAGTTGTATGCACAGCTAAGCAGAACTGTCTTTAACCTGGTTTTAAACATTGTCAGAGAGGAGGCCTGTCTCACATCTTCAGGAAGACTGTTCCAGATTTTAGCAGCATGAATCTGAAAAGCAGCCTCCCCATGTTTAGTTCTGACTCTGGGCACTAACAGGAGTCCAGTCCCTGTGCTCCTCAGAGTCCGGGCTGGTTCATATGGGACTAACATGTCACTAATATATTTTGGTGCGAGGCCTGGAGAGACTTGTACACAAGCAGAGCTGTTTTAAAGTCTATTCTCTGAGCCACAGGAAGCCAGTGCAGAGACCTGAGGACCGGACTAATATGGTCGTACTTCCTGGTTCTTGTCAGGACTCGATTGCATACACACTGATTGCAAACTCCTCGGTTTTTCAGTGTTTTAAAAAAAAAAAGACTTTGGATATTCTTCAACAGTTTTGTGCTTCAAAATGACGCAATAATGCCTTTGTTTCATGTGTTTTTAGTAGCCTCTCAGGGCCACTCTTGGTTTCGGTTAATGTCCGCGGGCCGGACTTTGGGGTAGCATGGTGGCACAGTACTTTGCACTCTTCCTTGGGTTAAAATCCAGATCGGAACTTGGTCTTTCTAATGTTGCATGTTCTCCACGTGTCTGCGTAGGTTTCCTCTGCAGGCTTTGCAGGATGGGTCAAATGCAGAGGACAAATTGCCCTACGGGGATAAATAAAGTGGGTTTAAAAGGGTTCAAAATAACCGGACACTGACCTTTATTAGATGGCAAGATGAAGATTAAGAGATACTTTATTCGTCCCACAGTGGGAAATTTCAGTGTTGCATCACCAGTTACAGAACTGTAGGAATGAGGAGCACACAACACACAATAAATGCACAATAACGCTATATCTAAAATAAAATAAAATACAATCTCTAACTTGGCATAATAAAGAAGCAGGTATACAATCTCTAACTTTATCTTAATGAAGAAGAATTAAGTTTGAAATCTCTGACTTTAGCATAATAAAGAAGTTTAAAATACTAGTGCAAGAAATCTATAGTTGTAGGTACATCTGTACATGTTAGCAGCATGAGGGCGTGGGACAAAGTGACCAAGTGAAGTGACAGTGGACACATGGGTTCTATATGGCACACTTTCTAACATTAGTTCAAACTAGAACCTCTCCTTCTCACATTGAGGGTGAAAAAGTCCGTCACTGAAACTTCTATCAAGTGTTTTCCTACATGATGGTTATATCTGTGTCTTTTCCCATAGTGCTGTAGCTGTGAATTGAATTATGTTGGTATCTTTATAGTAGATTTTTGTAATTTTGCTACCTAAAAGTAGAAGATTTTTAATGTCCATAATTAAGACACTTGATGATTGGGGAATGCATACTGTATATAAGAGGTGCGGAGTGTATTCAGTTGACCAAAAATAAGTCATTATTTGATCATAATATCTGAACAGAAATTTTAAAATGACATGTTATTACCTAATTTAGTGTCAATCAATCAGTAGATCCAATCAAGCAATATATCAGTTATTGCTAGATTATAAATCATTTAAGATGCTTGGATCACACATAAATTATGGTAAATCTCAGCATTAAGGAAACATCCCAGACACCATTTTACACTTGACGTAATGATGAACTCGCTGCAGTTGGATTTACATTCTAAAATGTTTTACTGTATTTTTAAGGAAATCTAGTGTTCAAGACTAATGAATAAAAGTCACAATATCAGAATAAATCTTCCTGGCAGTGACATTATTAATAGATTCAGGAGAATAGTGAGCAGGATTCATCTGCAATATGATGGATGAACTACGCTTGCCTTCCATGCTCTCGAGCTAAGGTCATTCTGATAAGTGCACATATTTTGGAGCCTCTCTGCACAAACCGTTCGTGGAGTTCCCGCTCCACTGCCAGGAGTGGAAGCCCTGTCCCGATTGCCTCGCACCTTTGACCTCCAACTACCTGCTTATGATAACTGCTAAACTGTCTTTTTTTTTACCCTTACGTTCTGACAGTGGGTATAATGGCAGGTCATGGGGGGATAATGGAGAGGTCGGCGGGCACATCCTTCCCAGCCAATGACGGTCCAGGAACGGAAGAACACACTAGCCTCACCATGTAGGTCTGGACAATAGCTATCGCAGAAGTACTTGTCTATATTTAGCCTTTTTTAATTTTCCACAGCGGACGTCTGTGCAAAGCTTGTTTTCCTTTGCTAGAGTTGTATGAGTGTGTGTTTTAATCATGTTTGAGGAGATCCTTGCTGGGTTGTTGCTACTCACTGTGTTGTGATGGCGCTGGTGCAGCTTCCTAATCGGAGTAGAATGGGCTGTGTGTGTGAAGTGAGATGAGAGCCCTCCAGCAGGCTCATTAGGGAGTTTAGAGTGGAGAGCGGGGATAAACATTTACACTATGATTGGCTTTTACAATAAGCTTGATGCTGGTTGCTTTTATTGGGTTCAAAGGGGGGTGTTTTTACAGGCTGTGATAGAGCTGCTGTAAAAAACGGAGTGGAGCTGGGCTGCTGAATGTGCTCAGACTAAATGAGATGCACACTGCTTCAGTGTACCACAGTGACTTGCACTTACTTCCGAGCTCTGTAGAGTCCTTCTGTTGAGTCACACTTTGTCCAGAACTACACTCCCATCTCCCTCCCTTTATTCCTCTCACAGCACAGGCAGGTTAAGTCGCTGGTTAACAACCAAAGTGTTGCCTGTGTGCCGAAGATGTATTTTTCCTGATTGCCTTTAAAATTCTGCTTATCTTAGAGTCCAGAGGCTCCCTCAGAGAGCTGTAATGAACTCCCTTGAGAGGCAGCCCACTGTTTAGTGGGGCAGCCAAGGCCCTTGGCCCTTGACTAGAATACAACACTCACACACGCATCCCATGGTCTTATTTAGTAATGTTACTATAATTTTTTTATTTTTTTTAACCAAAATGCTTATTTCACCCACTGCCCTTTGTACATCTCATGCTAATGAGATGCTCTGTAACGGCGTTAATTAGCCAGCCAGCCACTGATTGCCCGGCTTGTTCTAGTTGTGTGGGGCGTGTGGCGGGGGTATTAATATGGCTGTGTACCGCTGAGGAGAATTCTGTCAGGGTCTGCTCTGGAACCAATTAGGCTAAATCCCTGTGTCCACCGAGGCTGTGGAGAACAAGCCTG